GGAACTCAGTGTGGTATAAAACAACTAACATATCATGTTCGCTTTCACAGACCGGCGTGAAAATGCTAACATAACGTAACCCATACTTTTTATACGATTTCCATTTCCGTGTCGTTCGCGCAAACTCAGCGCTGGCCAGGAAATTTATTTTATTTAAAGAGAATTTATTATGAAATTCTGTGTAAGTTTTTCGGTAAAATTTAACACCTTTTATTAATTTCTTTTTTAAATTACTGTGGGACGGAGTTAGTATAATAGAAATAAAGTACGTACCTATCCATTAAAATGACTTAGGAAAAATAATACGAGTACATAGTGTACCTAAAAGCATTTTCCTTCAGCTTAATTGGAAACGACGCAATTTATCTTCGTAGGGAATATTTTTCTTTACTCTGGTCAGTGTAGTTGTCGAGAAAAAGCAAACACAGGCAAAGTTATCCACACCTACGTCTCGGTTGTCGTATGAAAGAAATCTAATATCCTTTGGGAAAACACAGTCGGTGATAGCGCAGCCCGGAGGAAAATAAAATATTCACCGTCAAAGATTTCCTTGAGATAAAACCGGCTTATAATATTGTCCAGAAGGGTTCGCAAATATTTTGTAAAATAATGATTTGTCAAATGTAACTGGAGTGATAAAGACGTATTGTTTGGACGGAGTTTTAGTGTGACGGTTACAAAAGATATGACAACAACAGAGACATGCAATATGTTTTTATGATATAATGGGGACAATGGGACGTGTATTGTGTGAAAAATGTGGAGATATTTTATTGGATGTATTCTGTTACTTATGTAATGTAGGTAAACGATCTACTTGCTTTTTTTCATCGTTTGTATCCCTAACATACTCACACTTGTATGTTATACATACATTTATTTAAGTAAAATGTCTAGTGTATAATATATGGTGTAACAATAAATGCTAAGTTTCTATTACCATGACATTGTCCTCAAACTTCGTCAAAGTAGATAACTCTGTTCACCCAGCTCATTAAAGTTTCGAAGTCACGACCAGTCTCAAGCAATTGCCACAACTTATCATCGGTTGAACAGAAACCACATGTCGAATTAATTAAATTACGTAAAACTTTACGTCGCGTCGTAGTAAAATATTTATAAACAGTTAATAAGTAGATGTTAGCTATCCATTCCATTTGATATTGGTAAAAGAAGCCATTTCGATATGTAATAGGCAAAACTAAAATAAAAGTGTTGCGAAGTACCAAAGAAACCGCTGTCAAAAAAGTTGATCCTTTCTTTCTTTCTATTTATTTTCAAACAAAACCGGGAGCTAAGAAGTAAGAACAAAATGTTTATTGACAAACTTTTGTAAGAAGCTGACAGTGTTACGGAACAAATGTCAGATCGGATGAGCAGAAATTTGTAGGATAAATCGGGCGCCATTGCACTTACCTACTGTTATGATGGATATCGGATCCCAAACGGTTTGTTCCAAAAATTGTTGGCTATTATTTTTTTATTGCTTCAGTACTTGTTTATTTTATCGTCATAAGTGTTTCAAGTAATTTTAGGTTTTTATAGAAGATACACAACATTTTATTTCCTTTTACATTTATAATGCTATAAATAATTTCAAAAGGATGTTGTGAAGGAGATTAAGCGAAATGGAATGAAAAATCCCAGTAAGTTCTTTGGCTACAATAAGTTTTGCTTACATGTTCGCTGAGTAAACCATAATTCAAAGTTTTGTACTGAACATGGCAATACTTAAGTTTACAGTTGTGTTAAACTAAACTGACATTATTTTGTATATACATATATGAGTTATGGTATCTGTTATACGTTAAATAACCACATTATATAAAGAACAATTGGCTAGTTTCCTAGGTTTAAAATAAATTGTTTCAACTTTTCAATGCAATAAATAATTAAAAAGTAATCATACTCTCATCCATTGATTTGGCAATTTACCTACTCGCTAATTTTAAGGAATTAAGTATGCTATTTGACGCAGAAATATGATGACGTCATAAGTGGCGATCCAATACAAAATTCATAGGAAAATATCGTTTTTAACATTTCAATAAAAGTATTCAATTTGACTACCTGTCAACTACTACTACTACCGTATTCTACGAAAACTACGTATTTTAAAAAGTTTAATTAAAGATTAATAAAGAAGTAAACATCACTTTTCCATTGTCTTGTCACCCAGCATGTGGCAGCCATTTATATAAGTTACGAAGAAGTAAATAAATATTCTGTACCGACTACAGACGAAAGTTCCGCACAACTTTCAGTCGTAACATGTCGCCAAAGAAACGTCCATGTGAATAAAACCTAATTTAAGTTACAAAAAAGGGAGAAGTCACGAGTCTTTTGCGCGCGTAAGTTGACTTTTTACCGTCGCGTACTTTTACTAGAGTTGTACCTACATACGTACAACAAAATATCTGCAAGCGCGCTCCACAAAATTTCTCGCGATTCTAAACAGTGTTTCTGTTTGCCATGAATAATTCATTGTTGTTTAACATTATCGGAGTTGGGATTATCTATAAAGGACAAGGGATTGATTTGAAGGTGTACGTACTCCAAAACAATAGATTATTAAGCTTAAACAAATATCCCTTCAGTGATAATCCTTTGTTTTATTGCCAAGGCAAGTAATCCACAACGAAATAATCGGTTCACTGTAATTAACTTTTGAATATCCTATACTTAAAAAGATTTTTGTGCAAAACGACCATGAAAAGAAAATTTAATTCAGTAATTTTCTTTCTTATAACTCGATTCCAAATGATAAAAGTTTTAAATGGAACCACTTCGAGATCAAATATTTCGTAGAATTGGTTGGTACCCTTCCGGAAATGGCATCATAAAGCCACTTTTGGCTGCCTTTGAAGTTATAACTGTGCTTTATTTTATACTGCTGTGCCAATACCATTTAACGTGACTGTAAAACATTGCGAATTCTTTACCTTACTTACCTTACATTCAAATGGTTCAAATGGGTTAAAATTATAGCAACAATATCTTTCCGCCTTTTTTCTTAAATTATTAACCTACATGAACGTGTCAATAAAGTTTGATTTATATTTTTAAATGACAGATAAATGTTTAACTAATATCAGAAATAATTCGTCCAAAAAAATATAAATCATGTTACCTTTCTTTCGGAAAAATGTTGTCAAAACTGAAAGCGAACGCCACAAAGAGAAAAGGACGCAGGTGAAAATATGTTCTGCCATACCCTGCGTCGGGCACCCGGCGTGATTTTGGCAATATTTTCAAACGAGATTTTACAGAAGCCCGATATGTGAGCGGTCTCAAAGTCTGATAGGTTTTTTTTTTTTTAATTGAAAAGGTTTGCGTCCGACCCATGTACCACCGGAAGATAAAACGTTGAGTAATAGTTGGGCACGTACTGTGTTCAAAAGTAATAGGTATTATGCACTCGTGACTCGCTGACTTTCTTTCAATATTTGGTACTCTAATCTACATAATAAACCTTTTGGAAGCCAAAATGTGGTAAAATTTATAATATGTAAAGCAAAATATTAAAACATATTCGAAACATGTCTATTGTCTATACTTTATTTCTATTTCTTAATTCAACTTAGATATAAAATCAAGTAACAAAAACATCGTTAGTGTAATGAGTGAACTGAAGTTGCAAGCGATTTTTGAGTTCGGTTAGCGGTTAGACTAAGCAAAGTTTTATTACGATTTACGATTCTGAAATTCTCAACAGTAGCAAGGACATTTACGCTTATCCTTTACCCGTATATTCTAATATGTCTATTTCTACTTGTTGGAGGAAAATGGGGGATATTCTAGACAAGGAAAAGGATTTATTCGTTATCAGTGACTATAATAAATGTGTTACTAAAACGTACAGGGAGTACAGAAGGAATATCACCCATCGGTGATAAATGTATCGGTCGCGTACCCTTGTATCTTGTCATTCGATGATGGAATGACCTACAGGGAATTAAGATAACGCACACCCCGTTTAATCTTTCCCATAAAACATAGATGTGTCAGATTTTCTCTAATATGTAAAATTGACGAGGTTCTATACGACAGCTAAATAACTTTTTATATGTCAAACACAAATAATTTTGAATATCTATAAAAGTCCGTGAGCTGCGCGACGTCGCCGCGACCGCGCACGCTGCTCATGAGGAAGAACCCCTCTGTGGTTCGAAACTAGTAGAGCTTTTCTCAGTATATTCACGTGAGTAACCCGTGATTTTAGTTTAATCTATAAAATAATTATAAATTATATATTAATAAGTAATTATTTGCCAGTCTTTGTTGTAAGAATACAAGAATACATGCACAGTAACAACAAGTAACTAAACGTGAACCTGAAACATAAATAATCCTAAGAAACAAAAGCCAATAACAGAGATAATAGAATCAGTCATAACAATAAATATGTTAGAGGAAGGTTGAAAGAAGCGTTCGATAACAAAGGCGCTGATAGGCAACCGTCTCAAAGAGCAGATAATGTAACAACCGGGCTAATAAATATGCAGCCAGTCGTGTGCAATATCAGGATATTACTCGCGTTGCCATAGATAAGATAGTAATTTCACCCTTCACTCAACCCTTCGAACGTTAGGGGTAGAAATAGGAATTGTAATATTTCCCCTATTCAGGCTGGTCGTAATAAGCCCTAATGCCTATCTAGTGAAACATCTTTTATGTAGGGTTTAACGGAACTTTTTATTGCTTGTCAGTCTACACTCACGGACTATTACTTCAGCTTGTGTTTTTCTTTCTTTAAATAGGTTTTTGTACAATTATTTTAATTTAATTATAGTCTAATCGTGCATCCTAATTTATACTAAAATAAGATTACCTTGTTCAACATAAGTATAAATACTGAATTATGAAGGTTAAATAACTCGCCCATCAGTGCCAAGAAAGATATTATGAAACCTCGTGTTCAGCATTCCGATTTTCATCACCGAGTCAATCCATACTTTCAACAGCAACGTAATTCTAACAGCATCATTTTTCTTCAACAGAATCTAAAGAATCAGATAATGACGACCAATTTGTGGGTGGAGCAGTCGTGGTATGACTACAAGTTGCGCTGGGAGCCGCGCGAGTACGGCGGCGTGCACATGCTGCACGTACCCTCCGACCACATCTGGAGACCAGACATCGTCCTCTACAACAAGTGAGACCCATTCATATTTACCAGCTTCACATAAATATTACAATTAAATTGTTGTTGTCTGATAAATTTTGAAGGTGAAGCAGCGAGCCGTGCTCCTCTTTACTTTATCTTCCACTCTGAATCTTAAATAATCTGTCTCAACTTATCTTTTGATCCGATCCGATCAATAGCAAAGTCCTTTGTCAATCGCATCGCTAAAATTTATATTTGTGTGGAGTGACTGCCTGGAGCAAAATCATTAAAATATTTCCAGTAGCCTACCAACAATAAAATTCATCTCGATTCTAAATACTCAGTCACTCGTTACAAAACTCACGAGCGTACAAATTCTCAAATTAAAAAGCAATTCGATTTCTGTTACGTAAAAGGAGAAGTCTCTCGGTATATTTTTCTTTCTCCCCGAGCCCGCATACTTACCGCCTAATTTCTGAGATAGCATTAGCGGAGATACTGGGAACCTCCAAGAACTGGAAATCAAATTTTCGTATGATTTGTTACCAATACATTCCACGTTTCCTTTATATTTCCAAGTTTGGAGATCGATACGAACTACAAACAAGTCGAAGTTCACTAAGTTAAACTGTTCTAACTTACTGGTGGAGAACCTAATTACGGGAGAGACGGCATCATTTACTGTGATTCTGTCTCTGGCTATATTGCCTCTAATGAAAACGAAAATGTGCTCACGACGAGGTAACACATGTAATTAACTTTGGATCGAGTTCGGAGAGAAACGGCCAAATTGGGCGATCATAATATGAAGGTGTCGGGATTAATATTATAAACATCGTAAACGAGACTAACTTGTTACATTTTACGATGAAGATATTTAGAAGTTCCCCCGCTTATTTCGCTGTATTTTTATTACTTCTTCGCTATTTTTGTAGTGTGTATGTGTGTGTGTGTGACATGCCTGCCTCCAGAGTGTTGCGGAAGTGTTTTACAAAAGAAGCTGAGAGCTACTCGTCTGAACTATGAACAGTGGGCGCCACGATTCGCTGCTTCACCAGACTTCTAAAATTGTACCGAATTAATACAGATGACATTCCATTTACACTTATTTTGTACTAGTGCCCTTATGTTTTACACCTACACCATTGAACCACCCTACACAGACATCTTCACAACTACCCATAGTTACCAAATACGTACCTACTTGACAGATACCTGATAAACCGAGAAGTATCCTATTAAATATTTTTATTGGTACAAAATACTATTTAAAAACATACAAAATCATATACTTTGCTTTGAAATACACTGGTCATAGTTGACATACTACATTTACGAATTAGTTATGTTTAACAATAATAGTTTTGGAATAATTAGCAAACGACGAAATGTTAGAAAAAAGCCTCTGAATCGTATTTTACTTACAGTGCAGTATTACGAATAAGACTCACAAAGCATAGCATTGTCCCACAAAACCAATAGCCGTGAATTCTAACGTTGTAACCGTCCTAATTGACGGAAACCCAGAGATTACTTTTGTCCCATTTTCCCCTCCTTTACCGGGTGCGTATTTATCACTTCTTGCGAAAATATTTCAAACCATAAACTCAATAAAATATTAGCGCGGTCGTAGTCGAGTTTATAATTTAATTTCCTTTACTTTTTTGTTATTTAGGTTACTCTAGATTTTATTATGATAGCAACGGAGCTGCAAAGTCGACGTAAAATGCGGCCTTTGCCTTTTGACTGGGAAGTTTAATTAATTTGAAGACAAAATCAATTTCGATATTACGTTAAGTGCACAACGTGCCGTACGTTTATGGATTGATAGATTGAAAAGCGCAATTTCATGCCGTCACGAGCAACAATGGCTTCCAAAAATAATAATTTTGTGCATCGTTAAAATAACAATATAATTCTCACAATATTATCACAACGTTCAGTATAAACATTTTATTTTGCTAGTAATAGTTATGGGTTGAAGCTACGTTAACGTATTGCGGCAGCTTCTAAATACTATCAGTTTAGATTTAACAATAACTATTCTGTTGATAGCTAGGATGTTGCGAGGATCTATATCATTAATCTAGCACTCTTACTCTATCATTACAAACACAAGACTTTAAGATTTTATATAGATTTAAATCTTTGTTATATACAGTGCTTATTAACAGAATTTGAATAGGTACTAAGCCTTATTATCATTCACTACGGCTTGTCTATAAAACAACCACGAAAATTGGAATTACATTTGAGCCAAATAACTTTTTTGGTTATCCTTTCAGAGGAAAGTAGGTTTTAATGCTACGATATTTAAATAAAATCCTTAGAAAATAATTTGCAATTACCTGTGACTCTCAAGGGATTAACCTTTGGGAGTTTCAGGAAAATCAAGCGAGAAATACGCCTCCACTCTCTCCAAGCGATCTCCTTGCATCCTTCAACTCTCAGTCAAGCGCATCGATTTTTCTTCTAAGAATAAAATTTCCATTAAAGACGAAGACAGTTAATTTGAACGATACCGTAAACCTTTCAGCTTTAAAATATGATGATACGGACGTATTATTAATTGAATCTATTTTCACAATGCATTGATTAAAAATGACTACAACCAAAAATAGTTAAAGTACCGTCTGAAGAGCGCGAGCGGTGAGAGCGTTGTTACAAGTTTCACAAGTGTATTGTGGACGTAGTTGGCATTCATTTTGTCGCGGCCGCCACCTTGAGGCGTCGGACTTTGATAAATGGCCGGGACAGCAATCGTTACTCATTTCCTGTCCCTTCCCGCGACCTGTGTCCCCGTCCGCCCCGTCGTCCCCTCTAATGTGCACATTTTTGCTCCTACCTCAAACCGGGAACACCTGCGATGAAAACCCTTTGAATGAACGAATGTATGGACCCCCACGCTGTGATTTGTTAACCCTTATCATCGAGATTCGCACACCTCCGTGTTTCATATTTTTGTTGTCATTTTTTTCCATTCTTTTATTGGATGTCTTCGTCGTTTCATCCACATTGATTAAATTAAATTTAATAAATGATGCAAATAAAATGTCCTTTCCTTTCGCTGTTAATGCATGTTTATGTTGTGTCGTAATGTGTTAATTTAAACAAATTAAAATTATTTATTTGTTCTAATTATCAGTATTAATAATGTCTTCGAAGATTTCGTCGACGCACTAAAATGATGAGTATATTATTTTGAATTGTAATTGTTATGCTCATATGATTAACTGTTTTCTTTCAGCAAGAATAAACTTAAATAACTAAACACGTTGAGTAGGTATATTATTAAATTTTCCAAAAGTGATTAAATTAATTTCGGAATATGAAAATTATGTAGAATATTTTTATGTTTCGTTGTTTAGGTCGGCACGTCGTACAGTAGACAAGCTGTCTAAATAAAGTAGCACGATTACCGGTAACAATAAAGGTACAACAAAGACTTATTACGTTTGAAATTAACAGAAGCGTGACCCAAGTAGCCAGTGTACGTATAATTACGTACTAATCTGAGACTGATAGTGACACAAAGTTTCCCGCACATGGTCCACACACAACATACTCGTACTGACGCACTTGATGGTATTTGGTGAGACACAACTGACCGGTAGGGCCGCGAGACGGCTTGTAAACGTGCGTTAACATTACAGTGCCGACGGCAACTTCGAGGTAACGTTGGCGACCAAGGCGACCATCTATCATCAGGGGCTGGTGGAATGGAAACCACCCGCCATTTACAAGTCTTCCTGCGAAATAGACGTGGAATATTTTCCTTTCGACGAGCAAACATGCGTTCTTAAGTTCGGTAGCTGGACGTACGACGGATTCAAGGTAATTGCGTGGAGCTCCGTCACCGCTCTCGCTGACCGCTCTGTTTGTCCGCAGCGCCGACGGCAACTACGAGGTGACGCTGATGACCAAGGCCACCGTCTACTACAACGGCATGGTGGTGTGGCAGCCGCCCGCCGTCTATAAGTCCTCGTGCTCGATCGACGTCGAGTTCTTTCCTTACGACGTGCAAACCTGTGTGCTTAAGTTAGGCAGCTGGACGTATGACGGCTTCAAGGTGACGCCCCGCTGTACGCTGCTTGGCGCCGCGCGCGCGGGCCGTAGCCGTAGGGCCCGCCGCCCCGGCCGATGTCCATGCAATAGCTTGTTGGCTCGAACGTAATTCGTCGTGTAATTATATTACTTTTCTGTCCATGTGGTATGTTCACTTTTACATATTGACTGTAACGACGACGCTAGAGTAGTGGCGAAGAGCGTGCGCTCGGTGCCGACGCGCGCTCCCCGCCCCCGGCTCGCTCCGTAGCTCTGACATGTTGCAAGTTTACATTTCTATTGCGATGGTGATGTCTTAAGTATATGGAGTAGCGGTATGTCAACGTGCGTGATCACGAATGCTCCAGAATATCCTCGGCCGGTCCACTTAGCTCGTTCGGCCTTCCTCGCTCGACACGGAAAGGTATAAAATTTTAACAGCCAGGTGATATGGGATGCAATAACTTCACTCGATCCGTTCCTACCCGACACATCCCGCTCCGAATGAGCCTTTCCGTGCTACACGATAAGCCGCGAGTTCGCAGGTAAATATCAGTTAGATGAACGTTGAGCTAACAAAGGCATCGGTACGCGGACCGGCGTCACTCGGAGCTGTCACACCCTTCCATAGCTGGCTCCGCTCGCGCCACACACACACAGACACACGCCCGCCACACAGCTTGTTGCATGGTCCCCGTCAGTGTACACTCCACTCACCGCATGACTCAGCTTGTTCCGAATCACTTGCATTCCCGATCACGGCGCCGGCGGTCGCTCGCCGCCCGACGCGGTCGCGGTCGCGTCTCTGTACACAGCTTCACACGAACCTACACGCGAACAGGTTTAGCACAGCACGTGAAACCAAACGAAGATAAAGATCACACTTGTTGCTCTGTACACTTTCGAGCATAAAATAGTCATCATGTTGCATATTTTATACCTTTCCCTATTAGCGACTCATACTTACTGGCTGTACCTAGTGTGGTGTCGCTGGCAGTCCATTGCATGTTGTCACATCAACGAGAGACGATACCACTCCCGACTTTGACACGGAGTTCATAATGCACAAATCTAAATGTTAAAGTAGAACTCGCCGTCTCGTCGAAGCGTCGAGGACCCTCGGCAGTCGAGGAGGCGGCCGTTGCATGCTATTACAACACTCGAACGAAGCACGCGTCTTATGCCAACACGTCGCCACTATAACGAACGCAATCGTTGGTACAGTAGATACAAGAGACTTGGATAAGTTGGTATGAGGCGGGTCGCTGGGAGACGCTGCGTCCGCGCGACACACACACGCGCGGCGGAGCCGGCGCTTTCGACCTCCTTATCAGATTTTTTGACGAGTCGTTGAGGATGAAGTGCGCTACTTCCGAGATGCGATGTTCCGACACGAAGTAGTGCGCTCATTCTACGCGATAACGTGAAGGAACCAGACCAAGGAGGTTGTCCTCATCCTATACTCTTGTCGAAAGCTCCACGATCACTCGTTATATTCGGTGTTTTCTGTGTTTTCGCGTTGTTATTTCTTCGCATGAATCGAATTGTTGTGACATGTCTACATTGAAGATTAATGTGTCGGTTTGTCGTTAAAGGTTTTGATCTCAGTTTGTACTCAGGTACATCCCACTTGGCACACTGTGTGGTTTGTTTTCGAGGGTAATGCGAACATCAGTTTCGAATATGATCTTTATACAGAGACTCCGAGATACTGAAGTACACAGTTAACATGTCTGCGTTGCCTACATTTTATGGGATTTTTATCTAGATTCAACACATTGTGTGACAGGGTGCATGTATCCAATAAGTAATTATACTGACTAAATAGGCTGTGAACTAAACTTAAATAAATAGAATTAACAACTAACTAATCACTATACTTTCATGGAATAAAAAATAATATTAATATTTATATCACACTATTTCTATGTAAATCGTGTCGATTCGTCATGAAATTCAAATTCAGATATTTGACGATGAATTAAGTTTTTCTTATTATTTTTTATTCCATATGAAATTCTAATGAGTAGAACTAACCTGCATCATTCTAAACGCATATCATAAGATTAAACCAGTAATAGTAAATGTGTTAAAGTTCCTTATATATGTGTCTTTTAAAGTTATCGATGTGTATTTAACTAGAGTATATTAATTTTAAGTTATGATATTAATAAGTATCTAACAATATTATGATACTAGTATTTTGGCACCGGAGTTTCTCTAGGAAATTAATGGAGTAAGTATTAAAGGACTTCTACAGAAACGAGGACATCAAAATATTTTAAAAGATAAGTAACCATACATTACATCTGACAAAAACAGACACAAACAAAGCAATCAGAGGGATTATTAATTACAGGAAATAGGATTTCATTCTTTGCTTTTTTGAGGTTGTCTCAAACAGTACGGTTGCTTTAAATCAAATAAGCTCATGTGGGGTTTCCTTATCTTAGCGACTGCGCGTCTTTCATAATCGCAATCAAGACACGTATACCGTGCATTCCCCACATTTGAAATTCTAATCAATTTTGTTCATTCAAGACGTAGCTTAAGATGAATAAATTCATAATTCAACTCCGGTGCCTTGTGAATGTACAAGATGTACAGGGATGTTGGGACGTGTAAATAGTTTTTTGAGTTGGTATGTACGCAGGTGGATCTGAGACACATGGACGAGCAGGCCGGCAGTAACGTGGTGTCGGTCGGGGTCGACCTGTCAGAGTTCTACATGTCTGTCGAGTGGGATATACTCGAGGTGCCAGCTGTCAGGTACATAATCCTGTGTCTATTTATACCCCCCGGCCACGGGAAATGTTCCGCGAATATCCGAAACGGAATCCACTTGTGGTGTTAATTTGATTCACTTGCTGCCTGCTATTTCGTAAGATGATTCGAAAATGATATTTACACAGGTCTAGTGGATTTATTACTTAAACATGAGCGTTTTATTGTTTATCGCATAATGTACTTTAAACTATATTATCTCAATAGTCTGCCTTTACGTTTGAACCGAGAACATTCAATACACAACTACAGAAGCGTCGGACATTGCAATTGGCTTTCCTTTTGAGTAGGTATTTTCATGATTGTGTCTCGATACATTCTAAAATAGTGATTGAGAAAGATTTTTTACACTTTACTAAACTTATTCAGCGAATATGAAATACCGGTACATAGTTCCTGGTAGAAAATAGAAGATATTTCCTATGTTATTCGCAGTTGATGTTACAGTGAAATAATAACCAGTACACAGACATGACGGATGAGTTCAGCGATGTTCCTGAGAGCATAACGTAGTTGAAATTATTCAAGTAAATGTCGGTATTTACTTGAATATTTAAGGAACGGCGGCATAAAGATACTCGTGTTCGTGCCTGGAAATATAAAAGTTTATCGTACGACCGTTTAGTTTCACTTATTGTAGGCGGGACGGTGACGGCTGAACTAAATGACCGCTATCAGTACTTATGTTATTACGACAGATGGTCATTTATATTCACTTTGGGCCGTGGACATTCCTTACTCTTAACATTTAATTACATAATATTGTAACTTGTAAGTAACAGGAAGAATCCCGAGGTTTCAATTAATTAAAACGATTCTTCTTGTGGATTATGTTTCGCACTTGAACAGTAATTAAAAAAAGGCCAAATAAAAGCTCGGAACAGCAGTGAATACGTCCCTTAGGCGGTAAACAAAAGTTAATTGGAGCTCGATGTACTGCGGTCGTTTGTCCTCAGCCCTCCTTGCCGGCTACGGGCCGTTATCCGGCTCTCGAACACACGAGTGTCATTATTAACCCGACGTCACTTACCTCGCCATCGCTTTTACGACGTGTATCCGCTTTGCCGCGTTAGGTATCGCTTGCTATTAAACTTCTTACACATACCGATTTAAACCTCTCCAAGATGCGTACCTATACCTAACAGCTGAGTAAGATGTTCTGATAAGTCACGTTGTCGGACGTTTGGAGCACCTCAGTATCCCCCAAATAATCTAATCTAAGCTTGTATAAAAACGCTGACTTATATCCTTTAAGACGCTTTACCACGATCTATCTTTGTAGTCGACATTTTAAAATTCTAAGAGGATTGTAAAAAAGAAAGAGGTGTTCAGAATACTTAAAAGACAAGCAATAATAAAAAGGAACAACCCCTTTTGAATAAATAAAACACAAAAATAACTCAGCTTTATAAATGTGTCATTTGAGTACCTTGTCAAATAAAACAATATTTCAGTTTACACACACGGGTGGCGTATTGTGAAAATGTTGGTGTGACAAAGGCTCTGGCTGGGACGCAGTAAAATCTAGTTACCGAGCCTCCGGTAATGTCCTTTATACATATTCTGTAGTTGTAACGTTGCCGGCGGGTGACTCCTACTTGCTTTGAATACGGTTCCTACTTCCACGTTAACAAAGCCATTGCAACGGTAAAATTGTGGAGTACTTTTACAATCTGTGACGTTTTCTAAAGACGTAGACGCAAGAACGCTTAAATTAATGGGAGTCTACAAGCTTTAATATATTTTATATAATCCACGTAATAAGTCCGTCGGGAATTTTCTTGAGAGTAATATTTTGATTCAGAAGAAAAGTAATATGATCAACTATTTAAAATGGACAAGAAATTTTATTATAATGTCTTATTTAATGCTCGTTTATGATTAAAGTGAACTAAAATATCAGCACATTTCTGTGTAGTTAAATACAACTACAACCAAATAATGTCTTTAGCTACCAGAGACATACAATTTTAAAAATCAACATAGAGATTTCAATTTGTCCTAATTAATTCATTAGTTAGTATAATTTTAGGCTAATACGTATTTTCGTAACACGACTTAACCGTTTGTCGGCAATAATATCTATGCTTGTGAAAGTAAGAAAATAAAAGTGTACAGCTCCCATTTTCCTCCTAAAATGTTTGGCCAATAATAAAACGCTCATATTTTACCACTGTGAAATATTATATCATAACTTTTGCATATGGAATGTAACCCTTCGTTTGATTGACGGATAGCTAGACGGTCGGGACAAACTGCGCTTTTCCATATAAAATGATTTCCCTTGAAACGATATAAATGCCATTTTCATATTCCTTCAAAGCTTTTACGAGCTACTCTACGAAATTACCCGAATACACGTATCTTATATGTGCGTCTCGTAGAATATTGTTTTACAAAATTTACCAGTTGGACATTCACTTGTTATATACATACAATATACATATTATATACTTATATATGTTCTATTACCTGTTAGTATTATGATTTATACATACAACTGTCTAACTATTCAAATGTTTTCACAAGTTCTACGGCTTCGGGCTTTAGAAGTTTCTATTGCTCGCTTATAAATGACATTTAAATATTAAAATCGCTTGTAAAACTTCAGATGTAAGAGAAAGGCGAAAGTGTCGTTATGGATATTTGACTTTTGCCAAGTTTTGTTTAAAGAGCGTCTCTTGCAGATTCAATAACTGTATACTGTCCGGTAACTTGATTTAAGAAATATGCCCGACTCAAATTGAGTTAACGAATATACTTCTTCGCCTTTGGATGGCATCGTACAATGTTTATTCTTTTGTTTTGCTTTATCCAGGAATGAGAAATTCTACACTTGCTGCGACGAGCCTTACTTGGACATCACATTCAACATCACGATGCGAAGAAAAACGCTGTTTTACACAGTGAACATCATCATCCCTTGTATGGGGATCTCTTTCCTTACCGTCCTCACATTTTACCTGCCTTCAGACAGTGGAGAGAAGGTAATTATGAAATAGTTAGACATACCTTTATTGTATTGTTACCATTGTAGTAATAATTTAGAAAAAAATATGTTTCATATGTTCGAAGTATGAGCCACGCTCACCAGCCATAAATTACATCATGTATTTTACTTTTAATTTATGGCCGGTGAACGTGTCTTTGTGAACTTACGTTCTTTTAACATATTTTTCGTACATAAATAATACATACATAACTCGGGTAACTGCTATTGTGATATTTATTTTATATTTAATATTAGGATTAGGATAGTAGTGGTTACGTGAGAGAAGCGAAACGGTCCCGAAGTTTAATATTATATCAGTTGCTCGTTTATTTACATTGCGTCTAAAGCTTGACAAAGTCCTCCTTGGGGTGTAGGGTGCCTCTTATGATTTATATATAGCACGTACTTACTAGAAAATAGTATATAATATGTAACACAAAGAAGAACTTGTCACCCTGGGACCGGGTTGTAACCTTTTAGTACTAATCCTAGTGTTTTCGTCCACGTGTAATTACAAAAAGAATAGGTTAAGTAAAGACTACAGAAACCTTTTGTGTTTCACACAGTAGTGTAGAACACCTAATAAATTAGAAACAAGGATCATGTATTTAATTACACCAATACAATAAAATTGTGTCAAATACAATTTAATTTTGCAGGGAATGTTCGACTCAAAAACTTATGATTTTTGGTTGATCTTAATTGTTATTCCGACGTAAAATTAATGTAAGAAACAATCGATATAGGTACTTCAATGATAAATAATCTGAGGAGAGTATGGTCCAGGATTCGGAATTGGTTCAGAATTTCATGGAATCGAACAACTTAAAGTCAGTATTTGCGGATAAACTTTGTCTTTCGCAAAGTTTGAATTATTATTTACCTGGAACTATTACTTGCTTGTTGATCTAGTTGTTGAAGCGACTACTTCTTGAAATGATATAAAAGAGGTTCGCTGTTTGGTAAATTCAACAGTAAAATACGATAATTTTACTATTGGGAACTTTTCAATCTAATTATTATATTTGACCTCCGATTATTATGTATATTAAACTATAGTAAAATACGTATTAATAAATGTACCTAATACAAATTTCGGCGTATTAACAAATACATACAGGCTACGTGTATGTCACAAGAAAAAAATATCACGGAGTTGATATTATAATATGCAGTCTTTAAAGCACCTTTTTATATTCGAGAAATCAAAAGGAAATTATGAACGAACTTATTTTTCATAGTATTTAGAAACACAGTCATGAATCCTCTTTACATACATATTTATGACGATGTTCCTACCTCGTAATATTTAACATCCCGCTAAAAAAGCATGGCAACATAATGAAAGCACCTCATGTTTTTTATTACATTACTTTTACTCACGTGAATAAAATTTTCTGCGTTGTTATTGGAGTGAACATCTAAAAACAAATTAACAAAAATTCCTCGCATTTTGTCGGCAAACTTTGGGCGGCCCGTAAACTTTCACTGTGAATATTGTTACAACCGTTGAGGTTCAAATTGCTCAAATACGATTACTCAACGTGTTCTTTTATGAGTCTCTTGTGATTACTCACCCCAACGTAATAAAAATGTATTTCATTTGTATATGAAGCTCTCGAATCGCGCTCAGCTATGATTTACACGCCCCCTCCCGCGAGTCTCGCGGGTAACGGCCCGGCGATCCTATCGAGGGGATTTAAACTAATGACATTATATTGTTATCTCTAAATGTGTTTAGAAGATTCAGCTATATTGTACAGTCACGTACTAACGTATACATAATGATCCCATTACTTATCGACTGAAATATTGCTGAATAAATTAAGAGAATACTGGAAATCGATTTCATTTGCTTAATTTTAACAGTGTTGTTGTTGTTGTGCTATGGTTGTTGAGTGTATAAAATATATGAATAGATGAAATATCTCAGTAGAAACATCTCTCAACATTTCTTTTAAGTTTTCAGGTAAAGTATTTCCTTTTTTCTCGTAATAAAAAAAAATTAAAATATGTTTATTGACAAAAAGCTTCACATTACATTATTTAATGGCCCTGGCCCCACACTAGGATTCCCTGTGTCGAGAGTTCCAGTAATGTCTTAGAAAAATTATTATGATAATGATTACGTAATACTTTATACTCTTATTTTCTAGGATGCTACTTGGATCAAGAAATTATTATTGAAAATGTGTATTAATAAGTAGGTAAACTGTCGAAATACATAGTATGTTCATAGTTGAAGCTTAATGCTACGACATGCCGTAGCCGAGAATGCTACGACATGTTTCTGTGCCTACGCCGTAGCAGGTCGTTGCACACTGACTTCCTATAAGTTTTTTCATAATATTGCTGTTTATTATATGAAATAATCTCGTTTATTATGAAAAACATATTTATTAAATTATGAGAATTCAAGCCTTTGTTATTGATTCAAGAATTTAATATCAATTTCAATGGAACCAATCCCGTTTCCGTCCGTAATTAATCGTTTTGGAATTTAATATTTAATTTTATAAAATGAAGCTTTAACTCGGAATGGGTAAATATTTGCTGTATATTAATTCTGATGTTGAAATGCACGAGATATTAAATTATATTATTTTACAGTAAGAGGTAACAGTACAACGGGACAATATCGACTGGTCGGATGATTAAATTATTCATTAATGATTTATTTAATACTAACTTCTGTCAGCAGCTTAAATTCTTATGTATAGCTAGCATATGTATATATTTAAACTATATACACTAGCATATATGTATATAAATATTATTATAATAAAATATTTATTAACTCGTCGAGTACCGTATTTATAGACACAATTAAAGAACAATAGGTTGCGGTCACCGGTGACCGCTTGGTGTTTGACAGTTTAAAACAAAATCCAAAAGATCCAATAACAACATCACCGACTATTTGTGTATAGTTTTGTTGGACAACGCGTTAGTTTGTAAGGCATACTATGTACCTTTTATTAAATAATAAAATAAATAAAGTTACCCTCTATGGGTGTGCCAAATATCATGAAAATTGGTTCTGCAGTTTTTGTGTAAAGGAGAAACAAACAAACAAACAAACATACAAATTTTCGCAATTTATAATACTTTCAGGATTTACTGAACATAATTTAATCTATGTCATAGAAGTATTCATGTCATCTACGGAACAAAAATAACAGTATTTCTTGATACAAAATAACAACAAACTCAAATACGTGGCTCCTACCGTTTCCCGATGGATGTCCTTTGGGCAATAACAAACGTGAGGTGCATAGTTCAGCCTTTATATATGATGAAGGAAAAGCCTTTTGCCATGCACTGTATATATTTTCATACAATTGTGGATTTATAAATCAACCTAATGTTGTAATCGGCTGCTAAAATATGTAGTTCGACACGTAGTAATATTATTTTTCTTTGGACTCCAAACTGAAACTTATCTTGTATGGGTTTAATACAAACGTATTTTTCAATTTTTAAATATACGCGGATTTCATGACATACCCTACTTTCTACTAATATTATAAATGCGCAAGTTTCACAGCCTCACGCTGTGTGTTTATATGTTTGTTACTCTTTCACGTGAAAACGGCTGAAGGGATCAAGATAAAATTTGGAACAGGGATTTTTTTTTTTTTTTTTTGTAAGGGGGGAAAATCATCGAATGACTGCTTCCGCCTAGGTGAGGCGGAAGGGAGTGTCAGACTCTTACTGACTAAAAACCACCCCGTTCCTTCTCCTGCACGTCGAGCCGGAGCCCCGGTTACCCGTTAGGTTCTCCGCGACTTCGAATCGGCATCGGCCCTATTGGGCCCCATCTGTGGTGGTCTGATGGCTCTTTGAGGCGCGCGCGGAACGCGACGCGCCGTACGCTCGGGTCTGTTTCTGGTCGGACGGGGAGCCACCCATGCTCGCCGTCCGCAGGCCCGCGCTTACGGTGGCCGGAGATCGTCCCGCGATCCCCGACGCCCGGTGTGTCCTTCGCGATGGCTGGGTTGCGAGGAGGCAGCGCTTCGCTGCCTCACGCGTCCCGCCTCCTCCTTAGCTAGCATGACTGCTTCGCAAAAGGAGGAGACGGCATCCCAGTCCCCCTCGCTCCGCATCATGGCCTGCACTAGGCCCGGACGCGAGAGGTCGCCATCGCCGATCACTTCCCTGAGGGCACGGCGGTGCTCAGCCCACGCAGGGCATTCTCCCACTGTGTGTTCCACCGTGTCCTCAGGGCGGTCCTCGCAGTGATGACACCCGGGCGTTTCCTCCCGCCCCATCAGACACAGGTACCTCCCGAAACTTCCATGTCCGGTGAGGACCTGCGTCAGGCGGTAGGTGAGGACGCCGTAGCGTCTCTCAAGCCACTCCTCAAAGAGGGGACTTACCGCTGCAATGGCAGCGAGCCCATTGGAACAGGGATAGATTATAGTCTGGAACAACATATAGGCCACTTTTTTCCCACGAAAACGCGGGCGAAGCCGCAGGCAGAAGCTAGTATATATATGTATATACTTACGTATTTCTAATTAGTGAAACTACGAATTATTGGAAGACACTCTATGTAGTTTTTAATCTAATAAGGAAATCGAATTTATGTTGGCCCATAAAACACATAATATATGTATTCCAAATTATATCTAATGGAGTGTGGATACGTGCTTGTTGCGTAAAGATCAAAGCATCACATGATATATTCAAATAATATACATTTATGTACCTAATATTATTTTATGACCGTGTATGTACCGTGTCGTCATATCCTTAATTATATCAACGTAATACATAATATTTTCGAAATTCCTTTTTAGTTGAGTGTATGTAGTATATGTAACGTGAATAATTTGATCTCAGGTCTAACATCTCAACTATTGGTTTCAAAATTCCTAATTTCAAGATCACAGGGGTTCGAGTCTCCATCCATAAAGAAAACGTATAATATACACATGTATACCACTTACCAGTACCAGTAGCGGTGGTATGCGGCAGCCAAAGACTTAAAACAAAAGAATATTATTTTTTTTTAAACCCAAAAAATGTTTTTAAAATAACGTCACATAACAATATATAAAAACTAGCTCCTGTCCTTGACCTTGTATCCGCAATCCTATTTTTCCCATTTCCAAAGAAACCCTTGGTTGAAAATCCTATGCCCGTCTCTTGGTTCTAAGCTACCTCACCACCAATATTCAGCCAAATCGATTAAGCTATTCTTGAGTTATAAATAGTTACAAACATGACTTTTTAAATATAAATTTATACTACCTTTATACACACGATCATATAATTGAACATCGCAATAGTAAACCAAGTTAACTTCAAGTCAACAATCATGTTTATTAGTTCAGCAAAATGGAATACTAGTATAGTTAATTATGTAAGATAACAAGGTATTTCATTCTGGTAACGAGTAACTGATATTCGCTGAGAAATGGTGATAATGTTACCTACAATAAATACGTTAGTAGTCGTGTGTTGTCATGTAAACAGAAGATATGTTACACAACGCTGCGGCGTAACTTTACACACAAACATTATTATTTTAGGGAACAAATAGTATCTGTTATAGGTTAATATGGAGTTACGATTCGTTGATATCTCATAAATTACCATATTTCTGTGGAGATCATACAAATATGGGGATCGTATGATAGCCTTTTCAGTCCCGGTTTAACAATAGTATCCTATTTGTTAGTAGATTTGGTAACTACAGTTATATATATCTATCTATATATTTCTATATATCTGCTATATATGTGTTAATATTCCGTCTCTAGTAGCCAATTTTACAGACATATTAACTGGCTGGTCGTTAGAGATCACATTGACCGAAGTAGTTAAATAAAGGGGTTGTTTCATCATACTCTCGTTCACAAGTAAGTTATGATGTTTATTACGGCTTATTCTAGCATTAGGCGATTCTATCGTAAGCGTCTTACACAATTCTAGGTTCCGTATGTTGGTTGAATAAAACTGCGAGTTTCAGAGCAGATTGGATTAAAGATTCATTGACAGTACTATTGAGAATAGATGATATAGAGGTAGTATGAAACGATTCAACTTTTGACAGGAATTTTACTTCTTACGGGACTGTAATTGTTAGCTAAGAATAATGAACTGTACAGTGTATACCTGTGCCTAGTACCTACCCATTGAGTTAATAATAGACCAAATACTACATTTCGACCTAGGTTCATTAATTTTCTCTCCTTGTATTTATTTACCTTTAGGCATTCGGCCAACAAGTAACTGATATGATTGTATTGTTAACAGGTAACGCTGTCGATATCAATATTGATTAGTCTCCACGTGTTTTTCCTGCTGGTTGTCGAGATCATACCTCCTACGTCACTGGTCGTACCACTATTGGGAAAGTATCTTATATTCGCCATGATTCTCGTTTCAATAAGGTAAGAACTACGAAAATTACGTAAGATTAACTTGATATATAGAAATATATTAAAGTAATTAATTAAATATTTTTCTACAAGTGGTTTCACTCGGTAGTAGTGCTCCCACTGCCGAGTGAAACCACTGACAAATAAACATAGTAGACGTTTTAATTCAAATATGCAAATGCTAGCTACTTATAACACTCAGCACTCAGCACTGTAAGAAATTCTACATTTGATTTAATACTAAGCTTGCTTTAAGAGAAATTTGTATAAGAAGTACATGTTTAGATGGAGGACGAACAAGTGAATCATTAGAGACCACAAAATGGCAAAACCAAGTTGAAGGGTGTTCCCAAAAACAGAACCCTGAGGGACGTCCTTACTTACTTTACCTGAGAGACCTTAATCTGTAGTTTTTGTAACGACCAGTTGGGGACTCTATTAGGCTCGCACTCGTACTCAACCGACGCTACGCCCATTAAAAAAATGTTTTCTGCCATCTTATAGGGCGAAAAACCAATATATATATATATATATATATTCGTTCGACATAAGAGGAATTTACTGCACGCGTTCCCATCTACGATGACTATGAGAATAGATACCTCCTTTATAATGTCTATTATTTGACGATGTGCTCGTTTTATGTGCTCCGAAGACTAAATTAATATTTTACGACGACATTCCTTGTAAACAGCAATGGCGTCGTTATCTTGACGTGTTTGAACTATCGCTTTTAGGCGCTTAATTACAATTCATAAGCATATTTAAGATATTTGAGATTGTTTGCAGAGGAATGAAATGTCAAGTTTCAGTAAAGATGGCAGAGGCGCTGTTAAAGTAAAGAACATAAAAAATAAAATAAATGTTCAAGTTCGACGTGACGGAAATTTAGTTTAGTTTCAGCCATAAACACACATTTATGACTTTAATCTGAATTATCATCTTTCGGAGTTGAACTTACACATATCTGAAATGTGCACTTTGACAGTTAAGTCGCAACGTTACGACCCAAAGCGATCGTTTCCAAGTTGTGGAGCTTTAAAGATGGAACAAGTAGTAAACTAGCATTGAGTGAGACGAGCTACCTCGTGATTAAAAATAAATAAACAAGAGAGTTGCCATCGTTCCTGTTTATATGGCGAATGATATAATTTCACAAATTGAGAGAGAGGGGCGTCTGATTTAATTCCCGGCGCCCTTTTGATCCTTGTCGCATAGGATGGCACAACTAATATACGCACGTATAGCCTTGTGTTTCAGCTTATTACACGTTAACAGTAATCCCTGCTTACAAGTATTGCTCTTTACTTTGTTTTCGTAACAATATAAGTTACTGTTTAGCAAACATTTTCTTTATTTGTGTGTGTCCCTGTATCAAAGTATTAAGTAATTGAAACATTTGCCATTTTAGTAAAACCACAAGAAAGTCAGATTACACATTTGAAGAGCATCAATAATAAATAAGATTTACAAATTACGTAATTATTAAAATCAAAGCGTTTGCTTCTACGAAAACCAAATCAAACCGCCATAATAATAATAGGTTTTAGACAAAAGTAATTTATTTAAATATGGCTCGGTTGGGGCGTGCTAGCTACCACATTTCCATATAAATTAAAAGCTGGTTTCTAAACAAGATATTTGATTGCGTGCTCTAGCTTCAAGAAAATTAAATTTTTAACACCACAACCTCCGACTTTGAGTTAGGATAATTGGGAACCTTTGCACTGGTGCCGCTACAAACTTGTTGAAAGTCTAGCTTGGATCCATGTTTGCAAATGTAAAACCAAACTTGACTAGTTATGTAACTACGAATTATGAAATGAGATTGTATGCGACGCGGCAAAGCAATTAAAAGTTTTACTGTGATGTACATTAACTGATACCGCCGCCCGACTGTCACACTTATATTTAGTAATAATTCCAATCTGTGCTTACTACTATGGATATAATACACTCCAAATAAAATATGCTGTATCCATGTTCCGAGTGAACATCTCCCAATAGTATCATATGTGGTTTACATACTATTAGCAAGTTAACTATTCATAAATAAGCCGGCAACGCGGCCGCACCACGAACTACCTGATTCAGTGGGGAACTAACAAATTACCCGCTATTATTTGTAGCACCATTGTGTAAATCTATGAATAAAACTATTACCATTAATGTTTTAGCTGTATTTGTGCAAGAATTGCTATTGATCCTTTGAATACACGAACTGGCAACTCCTTTAGTTTGTGTAGGCAGTGATTCTATTGTTGTGGGAGTTCTATCTACGTAAAATGTATTGATATTCAAACGAGTTGATACATAAATCAAGGATGTTACAATGAATAATTATATTCTACGATAAAAGAAAGTTATAGCGCCAATCCACACAGTTACGGTCAAATTGTTATCGCTTTTACTAGCCAATAGAAGCTATTAATTGTAACCGTGTCCTTGGGTAATAAAACCTTTTATTGTTTAGTATATGTGTGACGGTAGTGGTCCTAAACGTCCACTTCCGTTCGCCGCAGACACACCGGATGGCGCCTTGGGTGAAACGAGTTTTCATACATATTCTACCACGACTGCTGTTTATGAAACGGCCGCAGTACAAGTTTGACACAACGAGGTGAGTTCGAACTCTTACTGTATCTTAAACTTTATATCGCAATCTTTGCAATTAAAATCAAATTAAGTCGGAGTTGAGCCGTTCTAATCAGCATCTCCGGCGAACATTCCTGAGTCCGGTCGCTCGGCCGAGAGAACTCGTAAATCCGACCGCGGATCAGTAACAACTCTAAATTAATTATAAGTTTTAAATACTCGCTGGCCGCGGCGGCAGGAGTCAGGGCGTTTATTTCTCGCTTTCACTCAACTTTACTACCTACGAAGGTTAAAGATAAAAAAGTGACGGAACAAATTGAGAAGATTGCGCATCGGAGTTTTTAAAAGCGTGATAGAGGCGACAAATTTGCTTGCCGCGCGCCTTTTTTATGACTTCACATCGCGGCGAGGTTTTTCTGCGAGGTAATGTTTTAATTTTACGGAGAGACATGACGCGTTTTTATGAAAATTGTTTGCATCGATGTGCAAAATACACGCACACAGTCAACACTTTTGCGCGTCTATGTAGATATGTTAATATGTTTAACATTAACCGTTGATGGTAACTGAACTATTGATCGACAGCGCACAGTTATTATTAACCACAACAGTTTACCACTCGTAGCCTGTCGCTGGTTACACTAGAATGCCTGAATAGCTGCTATTTGGTATCTATGTCTGTCAGTTAACTGGCTCGCGAATAATTCGTGCGGATAGCTAGTCGGTATCGTAATTCACTTACGAATGGATGTCTGTTAACTAGACTAGAGATATAATGGGCGCCTCGCTGTGGTTGCCGACTTACCGAACATTACGTAAATGGATCTCCGACTCTCCCACAGATCGCATGCTAAAGATCTTTTGGGAATGTTGGAAGCCTCCTTAATCTATCAACGATTGTAGCTCCGTCGTTCTGAGGGAATTGTTTCTATTGTACCTAATTTATCTCAGTTTACATCTTTTGTAAAGCAATACTAACGTATACGTGAGTGATGATACGTTCGGTGATAATGAAGTGAGAAAGCAACATCTAATACACACATCGTAAATTGGTGATCATAAGTTTCCTAAATAAATACGTTTGTATTTTCATATTTCCTGAAGCAAAGCATTAATACGTGTTTACATTGGAACTGGGTCACATACAGATTGTTTAGGATGTATTGACCGGTCCCAGCTAACCAAAGTTCATCACTTACAAAATAAACAAAAACGTGTTCGATTCATACCTATTGTTTATTTTTATTCGCGCATGACAATAAAGGGGAACAAAGGCTTGATTTTACACGAGTGCACTTCAGAACTTTTTTCATTTTTATTGTTTACAATGTACGGTAAACACCATGGTTCAATCGTAGCCCGTATACTCGCGCGTAGTCCCGGGCTACGACTGCTACGGCTGCGGCTACGGCGTAGCACAAATACAATGACTCTAATAATGTATTGTTTGCCATTATTATTGAAATGTATGTTTGTTGTAATAATTACAACAAAAATCGGAAAATAATAGACAAATAAAATAGAAGACAAATCAATATTAGTAAACAATATTCTTCTCATATTACTGAGTATATAGTATAGTATGACTTACTATCGTGATCAAAGTTTAAAATGCGCCAAGAAACTTAAGATTAACATCTTAAAACAGATCAACTCTCGATTTACTCAGTCAATACTCAGTTTTCTATGAAGTGCTTTTATAGAAGAGCAAATACATATTAAAACTTCTTTAAACTCAATAGTTTTACAACAACTACAGTGTTAATATCCATATCCATTGGTAGCCCGTAATCCGTTTATAGCACAGTATATTAATGAGGTTACAAGTACAGAGAGGATTTTGTGCAGCGTTCAGCCGTGAAACCTTTTCAGATAACTAGACTATGAAATTGCTGATAATTGGAAGTAGTGTGGCATAATATGTGATCAAAATTCTAAAATCACGTGGCGTGTAGTGCATCTGTAGTATGATTAGTGAAATACAAGGCATAAGGTTCAATTTTCCAAATCAGTTCGATGTTCGTTGTTAGGCACAGACTTTTCACTACAGTACCTACCTTTCTTGGAAAAACTAGCACGATATGCCAATATATTTTATTAGGTTTCCACCTGCGACTTCACCCACGTGGAATGTAGAAGCTTCTTTCGAGTCCTATAGGAATATATTGTGATAATATAAGTTACTGTTTGAAATGTAAACATTCTATTGGTGAAAAAATGTTCAAAATCGATTAAGGTATATGGGAACTTATCAGATACAAATAAACGTTTTCCTCTTTATTTAACAGTACAAATACACGACAAAAACACAGACATACATTCTGTATCCAATAAATTTTCATACTATTAAGAGTTTTGTTACATACCTTCTATTGTTTACTCAACGGCTAATTCCTTCGGGAACTGATGGTCAATCAAATGATAGTATCGGGTACCATAGATCGCGCTACACGGCGTGTGGTGTGGTGGTGCGGTGTGGAGGGGCAGCTCGGCCTCTCTACCCGTACCGGCTGGCAGCGGCTGACGACGACTGCTGCGCACCCGGTGCATGGCCGCCGCCTGCTGCACCGCCACCCAGACCTCTCACGAGAACACCAAGCAAAGAAGATCTCACACACACCACCTACCTTAACTCAGGGTAAGCCTACTTTACACGGATCTTAGGAATGTTTCTACTTTCTAACGAAATGTAAAAACAAACATTTATACTAGGGCACACAATTATCATCATCAATGAAAGTGATTATTTTTGTTGCAACAACTTGTTTTTATCTTAGAAAGTATCCCAATAACATGGTTGTGTACAAATAAAGGAGCAACAGACTACCTCTACATCAATGCTGTATTCCAGGATGGGTGATAGCAACAGGTTTGGTGGTAGCTGTCTGGTGCATGGCTCGAGTGATGGCGGAGCGGGACTAGGTAGCGGGTTAGCAGGCGGCTTGGCCGGTGGGCTGGCCAACGCTGAAGACGAGACCTCAGTCCCGTCCCCGACCCGCCGCCTGGCTTCAGTCACTCCGCCTGCCCACCAGAAGTACACAAAACATGCTTCTGTGTTCGATTTATTGCAGAGCACACTAGAATGCTCGAGGACTCTACTAAGGTACGTTTTAAACAATACTACGTTGCTTATTATCAATAACAAAGGTAATAAAAACATTGTTACTTTATATATTATAGTGTATTATATTACCATGTCTATAAAAGAACACTGAAGACGACATGACTCATAAAAGAAAACTAACACAATTGATAAAAATAATAGCCGTTTATGCCCTACATATTCTTCATATTGTTTACTTAACAGACACTCAATATAAATGCCTTCGCCATAGCTATGCATCGCTTACAAAACGACTATGCATCGACGGCGTTACGACGCTATAATATTTAATTTTATTACAGACACGGTTATCGGTTATTCAGTCAAATGTTACTTTGTTACTTGCACCACATTATCTTAACTGCAACAGTAGACTATAAAGTAAACAATAACCACGTAATAATACTCACTTTATATACTATGTCTAAGATTTTTATTTACTGTCTGCGGAAAACTTACAGTTAAATTAAACACCTTAATAATTCATGTAACATTGACAGGTTAAAGAAGATTGGAAATACGTAGCGATGGTGCTGGACCGTTTGTTCTTGTGGATCTTTACGCTGGCTGTGCTAGTGGGCACCGCCGGTATCATCCTGCAGGCGCCAACGTTGTACGACGACCGAGTGCCCATTGACAAGCACTTCAACCAATACGCGACCTCGTCGCTCGTGCGGTGTCCACCACCCTCGTAACTTGATAATATTGACTACATTTATGTTTACACAAGTATGACGTCATAGTACCAACTTTTATTTACAGAAAATACTGTTGCTACAACATTTATGACTGAAAACATTTCTATCTGCAATGTTTGCTGTTCAAAATTGGAATCTGAGACTGGGACACATTCATTTTTATTAAAACTCTGACGCCATACTCGTGTAACCATGTCTATTTGTATGGTTATTCAATAATTATACAAACAACGGTGTCTTCAAAGGTGCAGTGATTTGTTTGAGAAAATCTGTTTAGGTTGTAATCTAAAAAAACTTAAAACCTTGTACTGGCCTTATGACTCAAGGTCTACTTATTTGAACGTTTGTAACGATTTTCATGAACAAGTTGCAGTAACACCGTTTGACATTATTCTTATTGCGTCGCCGTTGTATTTCAAGACCCAACGCACACCCGTCCCACCCGGAACGTGTTCTATTCCACGACACGTAAATATATCTATCTAATAAAGTTTTCGTAATAATTATCATAAGAACTTTCATATCTTTTCATATTATCTATTCTTGCACTCATTGTTAGTATAAACATTGATTCACTCATTCTGAGCTCCCACGCAAGAGTTTGAGCATTGTTTGGCTCATACAACGTCTTATGTGACAATAAATTGTAGCAATTGTTTCCTGTAGTTATCTTATTGCAGCGCAGTATCAAAATCCAAAGCGACGCACGACTCACAAAATCATCTAAAGATACACTAGTCTCTATGAATAGATATAAGATAATGAACGAAACACCACCATGTTAAATGTATCTGTGTTCAAAAACGTCATTTAGTAAATTAGCATACATAATATCGTAGCTAGCACCTTTAACTAAGCTCATCCAAAGCGATAGACCAACAAGTCTGCTTATTACACCTCGCTTATTCATATAGGAATTTAATAACTGATTTTCATACAAATTGTCAACATTAGCTCTAATGTAGACATCGAAATCGAATGTAATTTTAAGGAATTCATAGGCACTAGACGTAGTGTAAGTCTGTCTTAAAATCATGCTGAAACTATCGACTAGAGATTCTTCCAACTCTTCTATTTCTAAGAACATTACTATAATTTGTCGTAGAATAGAACATGTACTTTAAAATAAGAATATCGATTTTATTATTTATAAGAAAAAAATAGTATTTGAAACCTATAAAATACAGTAACGTATTTATAAAACGATTTATTGTTGGCTTTGAAAGAACGAAATTCAGTTAATAGACTCGATGAATATCGTAAAGATTTACAAGACCAGAGTAATGAAAAATATCCTTATGATAATAAGTACAACATAATGATTTACTTTAAGAAGATAATTGCTCAATTTTAAAGTCCGTACCTTCTTTAGTTTTGCTACTGTTTATTGATACGCCGAGTGATTATGAACTGACCCTAACCTAATATGAACTAAGTAGGTACTTATTGATTGATTTATGTTATACTCCTACATTCGCTTAATCAAAATGGTGTCACTATATTACGTTGGTATATAATTTCCACAATATTCCAAAAAGTGTACTATGTTACATATTATAGTGTAGAATCACTGTAAATAAAATTAATGTAATTATATTTGAGGCACGCGTTTGAGCAATGGCCGTGCCAAACTTTTGGACAGGAATTGAAATTATTTATTAATTGAAAATGAACAATACACAATAAATAAAATACCAAAAATTAAAAAAGAGTGTACAAAAATAAATAACGAATATAAAACATTAAGAGTAAAAGCTTATTGTACTGAGATGAAACAAAAATCATGACAAACGTGATTATGATAGTGGTCATAGTCATGTCATATTATAATTAAATATCGTAAATTGTAAATTCACTATATGTATAATAAAATGCGAGGCTATAGTCGAATATTAAAATGCTGCATAGTCATAGACTATTACATTATATCACAAGACTATTAAAACACTAAACATCAATTTAATTGTTCCACGTAAACGCAGTCAAGCATTCTACGTCTTATCACTAACGATCATATTTTATTGGCGTTTAAATATTCGGCTATATGTACAATATTATTGTCAATAAACGAATAGAAAGTACTGGTGCATAGTATAGTACCCCATAAAAGTAATCTAATCTAATAAATAAGATATATACCTAATACACATTGACTGCTCGCAGTAGAGTAGCGCAGCTCAATTGTAGAAATATAAGTTTGTAAGTACTTATTTATATTGTTAATAAAATCGTTATATATAGTCTTTTCTTTTCTTTCCCGTCGACAATTTATTAATTAACACATGTTTATTGTGATAGAGGCCTATAAGGACGCTCTTACTAACTTATGTTATTGCGCGCTATGACGCGTACAACAGCTGCCGATGAAGACAAGATCGGGTTCTTGGACTTCTACACGAACGCATCGGGGTTCCGAGCCTCATACATAACAGGTAATGAGTAAACCGTCACATGCAATCACGCATTCTGATATATATTAAAAATTAAAAAAATAATAACAATTTCATTTCCCTGAATTTATTGGAACGGGGCCACTAAATAAACCAACTGTACCTTTTCTTTTATTTTTGAGGATATTATTAATTATGCGCTCTGAGCGTTTTCTTCCCTTCATGAGTTGACGGGCTTCCTTTATGGCACGCTGACGCACCTCTTTATTTGTTTGAGATGGAAAGAAAGCGTCGTAGTCAAACGATGCGTTTTTATTGTCTACGGGTCCAGCTCTGAGTGTTGGAATCTGTGTAGTCAAAGTTGTGCCTGCCGTCTCAATCGTTGTAACTATTGCAAGTTCTGGAGTGTCGGTAGGTGGACTATTTTCAACAACCATGCTACTTGTTGTATTTTCATTTACGGATCTCTTTAAAGTTTCCTCAAAATCTTTACAACACGGTGTAATTCCCTCTTCAGATGTGTTTGTAATATAAGTGCTGTTTTGAGTTAAAACAGTATAATCGTTAACACTTGTAGTAGTTGGTATAGATTCTTCATCATTGGGAATCACACTGGCTACTTCAGATGGAATAGTTTCACTAGCAGATGTACTATCTGTTGTAGACATGTCAGGAGTCACTGTGTCATTCAGTTCTGTAGTAATAGTAGGGTTATCGTCATTAACTGCTGTAGTTATTTCTTCAAGAGGTATATTTTCACTGGCAGGGGAACTGTCTGTCATTGATAGGGTAGGAGGCACTGCATCATTTGTGTCTGTAGTAAATGTAGAACTGTCTCCATCGTCCACTGTAGTCAATTCTTCAAGAGGAATATTCTCATTATTAGCAGGTGCACTTTCTATCATTGATTGGTTAGGAATCACTGATTCATTTGCTTCTGTACTAACTGTAGGATTATCGCCGTTGCTAGCTGTAGTAAATTCTTCGGCTGGAATAGTTTCACTAACCGGTAAACGATCTGTTATTGGTAAGAGAATAGTCACTTTATCGTCCGGTTCCGTAGTAATTGTAGGACTATCTTCGTTATCCACTGTTGTCAATTCTAAAAGTGGAATATTTTCACTAGCCGGTATAACTGGCAAGTTGGTAGTTACTGTATCGTTTGATTCTGTAATTATTGTAGGATTGTCTTCATTATCAAGTGTAGTTGGTTTTGCAGGTATACTACTTTCACTAACATGTGCACTATCTGTATCTGACGTGTTAGGAGGCAGTGAATTGTACGGTTCTGTAGTAACTGTAGGATTGTCTTCATTAGCAGGTGAATTATATGTGATTGATAAGTTTGAAGTCACTTTTTCATTCGGTTCTGTAGTAACTGTAGTATTGTCTGTATTTTCTGGTGTGGTTAATAGTTGAGGTGGAATAGTTTCACTAGCTGGCATACTATCTGTAATAGGTAGGTCGGGAGTTATAGTGTCAATTGGTATTGCAGTAACTGTAGTAATCTCTTCATTACGTACTGTAGTTAATTCCTCAGGTTGAATTGGTTTATTTGCAGAAATATAACCATCATAACGAAATAAAGGTATGGAAGTTAAATGTGTGTCTGTAAAATTATTTTTTGGGGGTTTCATGACAATTGATTCAATTTTTGCTGGAGTTACAGTTTCGTTTGAAGGTAAAGTCTCGCCCAAGGGATGTATTTTTTCAGTGGACGTTGTACCCATATTAATACTTGAATCTGTTTCTGTATTATTCGTATCACCGCTTATAGTAATACCTTGTGTAGTTGAAGTTAAATCAACGTTAGTGTTTTGTATTCCTCTTACAATTACGGTGTCATTATTAACCATATAATCTGAAGATTTATTTGACATGGACTCCGTGCTAACGTATACATTATCAATTTTGATAGTTTCAATAGATTTATTTTCATTTTGGTTCATGGTTGGGCTAGCTGTAGTTAAAGGCTCAGTGTCCGGATTAACATGTTTTGTCAGTTCGACTAGCTCAGTAGTCTCATTGGAGGACTTGCTGACATTAAGCGATTGGTAATTACTATCGCCGTCATTAATAACCCTGGCTTGAGTTATGTTATCACTAGATAGTTCTCGTGAATTTATAGATCTGGCAGTGGAACCTTTAGATATGTCCATGTTGAATATAACAGGTTGAGTATGATTACACTCCGGTTCTATTTTTGGACGATCGATAATTTTTACATGTTCCTGTACTTCTTTCTTTAGTTCCCCCAAATTTCGAGACTCCTCTTCTTCCCATTCTTTAATTTCTTGTTTTAAAAGTGCAATGCTGTTATCTTTAGATTTGTTTTGTAAATCTCCGACAATCTCATCGAGCTTAACATTCTCGGTTGCCTCAGTAGCTTCAATAGCATCTATTTTGTCTACAACCTCAGACATTACATGGTGAATCTCCTTAATTTCTGAAGTGTTTCTAGTATTAAGTTCTTTATTTTCCAATACTTTGATTTCATGAAGAATTGTCTCAACAGACGATTCTGTATCATTATGTTTGATGTTTTTGAAGTCTTTACCAACTTCTTCAGAAAGTTTCTTTATTTCTTTTTTTAATAATTCGTTAACATCTGCTAGTTGTTCAGATTCTATAACTAGTAATTTTTCAAGTTCTTTAATTTTTTCATCAGGCTTGTAGTCATCCAGAACCTTTGACATTGTCTTGTTAATTTTCTCATCTATTTCCTTTTCCAGGTTTTCTTCATTGCCCGGTTGAATACCTTCGACGCTTGTAGTATTTCCATCTGTTGAAGTAGAGTTCATTCCATTTCCACATTTTTCATAGTAACGTCTAGTGGCATCTTCGCTTAAAGAAAGCATTTGTTGTACAGCCAAAATCGTGCAATCCACGGTTTCTTTGACATCGGTTACTACGTCTGTTAGTAGTTTTCCAAAACCATTTTGAACTGACTGTACCGCCCCGTGAAATAAATCGAAAAATGATGTGGATGAGACCTGGAATTAATCACAGATTTTAGTATGTTTACCCACTTACTTGTACATTTATAAACGTGAGTCAGATGTTTTGCCACTTAACACACACCTGCACGATTAGTATAGTTGTAATAAGCACTGATATTTTCATGATGCACTGATTTTAGCACTTGGAGTATCTAACGTATCACCACCGACCGTTTTCAGACACGCAGAAAGACTCGTCAACTCGGAATGTTCGTCCTTTTAATTCTTCACACAATTAGTTTTACGTCTATTTGTTCAATCAAGACACGCGCTATTGTGATGTTCATACACCTGGGCTAATATTTAACGTCACACCATTATAACCAATTTAATTGTTTGAAATAAGTCAAAGTAGCTGTGTGGTATCCAAAATAAAATTTCCATGTAATAAATGAAAGTTCGTTTATTTTTGAGTAGCTTAATACAATATATCACAAAAGTAATTCTTAACTTCATAAATAACACTTATAAAGTGTTCAGCGTATTTTATGATATCGGTCAATCAACTATTATTTCGACCATTTTATATATTAGAAACATTTTTAGCCTACCTAGAGAATGAAAAAGCTACATAAATAATATTTATTGTCAGATATTTATCATGAGTCCTGACGATTTTATATAATTTATTCGATTGCACACTTGTTGGTGAATTTAATATTGAAAATTTAAAGCTTACGTAAATTGAGTTTTACTGTAAAGTAGCTCTTTAATTTAAAATTTTATAAATACTTTTATTAAACCGGAGTTATACATATTGTAATATGAAATATACATTTGATTTACCGAAAATTGTTAGAATGCAGATTTAAAATGCACGTTTTTAAAAGCATTGTAGGACACGAACTAGCACATTATACGACATATACGCAATGAATAGGTTACGTTTAGCAAATAGACGGACTTTTAAACAATGTGAGTACAATTATTTCACACTATAATTTAAACAATGAATTATTTATTGCCAGCTGCGCTTGATTTACAATCGCCAATTCGTAAAACATAAGAATTTGGCACTTTTTGAGCAATGTTTTCAGATTCTGTTCATCATAAGATTTATAATAAATGGAACACTTTGATACCCTTTGTACAATGTAAAGTGAGCTACGATTTGAAAAATATAAAATAATGTAACAAAAAATATGGGTTTAATCTTATTTTTCACGATTATAACATAAAAGTGTGATACATCAATACAATTTACAAAGTAAATAAATTAATATTTAAAAATAGTAAAAAATACTGTAATATCAAAACAAAATATAGACTTTTATAAATAAATATTAAAAGGTAATTCTAAAGCGTATACACGTTAACGAGTGGAATGTGTTTGAGTATTTTCCACGTACGTTAAACAATGAACAAGAAACCCGAAAATTGAACAACTAAAAGCAAAATATTACTGTTCATAAATATATATGTTTAAGGAGTACTATGATCGTACAATCCTTCGCTATACAAAACTGACACGAGTAAAATAACCTACATATATTTATTTGTATACAATTTCGCCCTATTCCTGGTCGTACGACCATAGCGTCCAAATATAAGGCTCTTACTTTATACCACCGCACTTCAAAATATATCTAACTATTTATTGTAAATTTTACGCCTTTGCAAATATAACAAGTGCATTGTTTGATGCGACACTCATATGAGAAGCATACACAATGTATGTGGCCTTCAAAACATTCCTATTTCTTATAAGTTGGTGCAACATCGTGCTGTTAAATGTATGCATAGAACTGTTATTGTTAGTTCAGCTGAACAACTAGTAATCAGATTCGATAAATAGTAATGATTAATTATTCAAGAAATTATTATAAGTTTTCTAATATTCAATCCATTACAAGACATTAAAACTGTATAAAAAATGTCGCAAGTTCAAAACACAATGTAAAACTAGTATAATTTTAAGCTAGGCTAGCTAGGCCCTAACGCTGTGTTCCAATATGATATGTAATTTTGTATGTGTGTAATATACCTACGTATTCTATTAATTTAGTTTGAACACGTCTAATACAACCATAATTATAATACAAAACTAACGACCCTCGACTTCCATTACGATTATATGGCATTTAATATAAAACATCCCAAGTCCCTCGCACACAGCACATCCCGCAGTCGCGTGGTCATCACGACACAATTACTAATTGTTCTTAATCATTAATTCATTAAAACTAAATACTGTTTTACATAAATTGCTATACAAAATGTGTTATTTCTATATTCATAATTAATCGTGATATAACAGTTTTCATTCCGCGATTAGGCAACTTGTAGCCAAAATACAAATCTAAAATATAATAAAATTCCATAAAACATTCATAAGTATAGGTCAAAAAGATTGAATATAAAAAAATATACGTAAGCATAAGATAACTATATTAATAAACATGAATATTTGATTATATAAATATTTCCATTGAACAATAATTTATTAGATACCTACTAGTCAGAATTTGCGGGATGAAAACCATTGAATCTTTGGAAACTGAACACGCGTGGATTGGAAGCATAAGGAAAATTGGTTACTAGGTTATTACTATTGTTTACCAAAGTAACATTCTGCGATGTTAGTTAAATATTGCTAAACAGTTTTGAAGATTTGTTTTCTAGAATACTTACAATCTAAGGTTCATATTATTATATAAGAAGCAAACGAGATCACTCCCAAACTTCACTTACAGGTAATGTTCACATCTACACAACTACGGAACATCGTAAAAGATCATTATCAAAATATGTTCAGAGACATAAAACATTTCATAAAATAAATTTCAATTTTGTCATAAAGTTAACACATTGGTAGGGTTACTCCAACTATTTATTGCTACGTACAGTGAGGTTTAGTTGTCTATGAACTTCACCCACTTTGTGTGTCAAGGTTGCGTCGTGTCATTTTCTTCGTCACTAGGCGTTAGGGGTGCCGAAGGGAGTTCGTCCCTTTTAGGGGGTTCGGGAACCTCGAGAGGTTCTTCGTCCCTTTTCGGTGGTAGGGTGCAATGTTCAGTTTGGGTAGCGGAGGTATCGGTGGGGTGGGGGACACGTCCCGCGGCGGCGGCGGGGGCTGCGCGGCGGTGAACCCGTTGTTCATCCGTTGGTAGTGCGGCTTCCATTTATTCGCAGGTGGCGTGTAGTTGAGACGATCATACTCCATTTCTGAAAACAACACATGGTTATTAAAATATTACAATTTAATTAAAAGCTGAAAAAAATAACAGAGATGGAGGCGTTGTTTAAGTTTTTGTAATGTATCAATAAAATTGAGTATAAAGATGATTCATGTTTAGTATTAACCTACCGTGTAGAACAAAGATTGAAAAACGTTATAGTGACTCACCATATCCTTCCTTATGTTTGATTTCGTCATAAACATGGTCCAATTTATTGTCATCTTCTTCGTACTGGTACAAATTGGGATTATTGGCGTCAGCATCCTTGTTCTTCATAGAGGACAGCGGGTCGTAAGCTTAAAAGAAAATTTTTCGTAGATTATGCACCTATTAGGTATTCTATGTTGTTACGCGAAACTACCAAGTTTATTACGATGAAAATGTTTTTGTTCTTTAGTGAAAAAATAACTAGTTCAGTAGACACAGTTGTTATTTAATATTCATATTTGCAATACAGGTCTCTGCCCTCTAAACTGAAGTGATTTTACCGTTACTGTGACAAGCAAGAACATAAATAATGTTAATGAAAACAGAAGAGTTATAAATCTAAAGATTTTGTTTGTTTGATTTAAAATGAATAACAAAAAGAACCGTATTTCAACAGCACACAAATTGGCTACTCTACTTATTATGCATAACATTGCAGAGACATTGTTAAGGTTTTGACTGCCGATAGCAAACTGTTGAAGGCAAATCTTTTGCTAATATCGGTCACCGTTGACCCCATGGCGTTTAATGTGTTAAAGAAATTAACTCGTTTATTTTATGTTACAAAAAGTAGTTCGTAAGTTACTTACTGTCATTAGATCCAGATGCTTTCATTCTGAGTTTCTCCATAGTGGTGTTGTTTAGTTTGCTTCCCGGGTTCAGGTTGTTCAGGAAATGAGTTGCGTTATTCAACAGAGTTGTTGAGTCATCGCTGCGTGTGGACCCTTGGTACGAGTACACTGGGTTATCGAAATGCTGTTGTTCTGTTGAAAAAAATATATTTTACTTAAACATTAACTCTATAAAATACATTAGACATTCGCTAAATCTTGTTTTACTATTACTACCAATGAGAGCTATCAATTTTACGCCTACTAGATGGCACTAAAATGGTTTTATGCTAAATGTCTTATGGCCGATTTTTCAATCATCAGATTAACTGTAGAATAAAATTGATATGACAGTTTTTAGTATGGAAGAATTGTCAAACATTCAAAGTTATTTCGCAGTAACAATTTATCTGGCGATGGTCAATCGGCCCGTAATTGTCCATCACTATAGCTATCTTACGGCCAATGAATAAACATGTGCAAATACTCTGTTGGACAAACAATCTTAGTTACCATCTCAGTTCCGAAATTCATACTTTATAAACCTTTTTAACATAACATTATTACAAAAACTTACCAGGCTGTGAATTAGGATCCACCGTGTAGTGCACGTGCGCGATCTCCCGCTTGAGGTTACGGACTCGCTTGCGATAGTACAACAGTACTAGTATTGCTATAGCGGCACAGATGAACGCCAGTATTATCATCACCACTGTTAGGCCTGAAGTTGAGGATTCTCCTAGGAAAATGAATTACTATAATTACCAGTATTTTAAAATATAAGCGAATATGAAGGTGTGGATAATCAATAGACGAATAAATACCTATAGCATCATAACTTACTCTAACAACAATCCAGTATTAGAACTTTAAACACAATGCAATATAAATAATTATGTTTTGCAAGTTATATTGAGGTTCAAAAAGGCTTAATTATATTCTTCTGTGGTCGTCAACGTACAGGTAAAGTCAGACGGCTGACGGTATACAAAAAAAATCTTAGTTTAATTCATTGTAAGGCCTGTGAAACTTACTGCTAGTATCAATTCCAGTGACGATGGCATCACTGGCATGTATGTCGCATTTCTCTCCAATGAAGCCGCGGTGACAGGTACACCCGATCACTGGATCACACACCCAGTTCCCTTCTGAAGAACAGTTGCAAGGCTCCATGCAATGATCACCGAAGTATCCCTCTGGACAAACTGTGGAAGTTAAAGTTTATATTTTATTATTAGGACACCGTAGGAGTAAATAAATATATCAATTTAAAATATTTTTTCTGCACGCTATATCACTGCGATCTGGTAAGTCAAAAAATGGCAGCCGTGATTTTAACGAATTGAGGATACCATAATTATAATCTGGATTCTGTGATGCACTTAGATACGATTACAAAAGAACTATAAATTTGAGGTATAATATGATTTGTGCATTGGGTTTTTAAGACTTTTGAAGATCGTCATATTCCAACAAGGGGAACTTAAGCTATCCTGTAGAGGAGGTATAAGTATGAGTGCGCACGTACACTGCGTGCAGTAGTGGCCGGTGTAGCCGGGCGGGCAGCGGCAGTAGCCGTCGTTGGGGCGGCAGGCGGCGTGGCGCGCGCAGCGACACGGCTGCGAGCACGCCGCGCCCCACCAGCCCGCGCCGCACGACGCCTCGCACGCAGCGCCCTGCCAGCCCGCCAGGCACTGGCACGCGCCTGCGAATGTCAACGTACCATTCAATATTACACGTCAATTCAAATCATACCCGTAGATCGCCACCGTCAGCAAAAGAAAAAGTTTTTCTCACACGGTTAAAATAATAGTGTCCGTAAAAACGACAGCTAAATTATAAAGTAAAATATGTCACATAACTATCCTTTTTTATAAACATTCAACGATAATCATGTTACATCGGAGTCATTAATCGTAAGCTACGTACACACCGACTTCGTGTAGGTAGCCAAATTCAACTAATCAAACATCTCCAAATTTGTATAAAACGCATGTAAACCATATAAATATTACGTATGTCGGTCTCATCAAAATTGTTTATCATTACTTGTTCTAAAAAATAGAATACTCACCCGTAACATGGTGACAATCGGCACCATTCTTACACGTGCACTTCTCCTTGCAACCAGCGCCGTAAGTTCCAAGTGGGCAAGGGTATTCGCACGTCACACCAGTAAAGCCGTTCGGGCAAGCATACACGCCAGTTACAGGATCGCACGTAGAGTTACCTGCCAAACGATAACATTGTTACACAATTCAAAACAAATACACCAATAAGTTTATAAACTTGCAACAGAAGCATAAACAGTAGAAACCGCTTGTATAATCTGCAAAAATGGTAACTTGGCCAGTTATTTCACGTCTGTAAACAAGCGGCACAGTCGGACTGTATCGATTATTTGAAAAGTTTAATTTCAAATAGCAGTGAAGAACAAGATGTATTGAAGTGTGGATGTGTAAAGTATTCTGATTTAATGAATCTGTTTTGTTCTTTTTACATCATTTTAGTATTGTGTAGTAAGTTTGAAACTGTTAAATTGTGCAATTTAAATCATGTACCCATTAATTCTGTTAACAGGAGCTGTGACAAAGCCAACAAACTATAAAAATCAAAATCTGTCTTCGAGTTCTTTACAGTAGATTTACGACTTTGTTCTATATGATTATGACACAAATGAAAGACAATTTAGGTAATTGGATTTAGAAGCAGAAGATGAAGTTACCATTAGGATTTTCGGGGCAAAGTTGCGTACAACCGGCGCCATAGAACCCAGGCGGGCACGGCGTGGTACAGTCGACTCCGGTCCAGCCCGCGGCACACACGCACCGGCCGGAGGACGCGTCGCACGACGAGTTGTTCCCACACGGACACTTCTCCGAACAATGCTCCCCGTAACGACCCTCCGCACACTGCGTCTCACATCTCACACCTATAATACCATCAATATTTTTATATTAAGTTGTGTTTTTATCGATAAACGTTCATATAGGAACACTTAGAATATGTTTAAACTTAATACATGCTGCCACCTGACTGTTATTTCATTTACCCGCTAATGTTATAGTTGTTACATAACGTGTAAAAACATTAATGAAGCATGCGACAAAAGAGTATGCTCTCTAATTACTTTGTAATATCACGTCTTTTATTCTCTACAAAATGGGGGATACATTTATTATAGTTTAGTATAAGTACTCAACTTTCGCAGTTACGGTTTTATATGTATATTCATTTTATATAACAATTACATTTACTTTCTAATAAAAAGATTTATTTCACTGAACACTTTGAGAGTCAACATTATTTTAACTATAACCTTTAGGAATATAAGAATAAGACACATTTTTAAAGAATATTTGACACACAAACTTTATGTCGTATGAAAAGACACATTACGAGAATAGCTGGTGATACGTTGAAAACGTAAGGACTACAAATCCATGATTTAAATATCATCATACAACGATTAGTGTATCGAACCACAAAAAGTTATATAGATGAAGAAAATTTCATATATAGCGAAAATGAGAATGCAGTGTAAATGACATAAAGAATGCAATAATGTCGTGTAGACATAAAACAAAACATTGAATAAGTTATTAGATTATAAAAATTCGTAATATCATTTGACAGATCACATCTCTTGGACAAAACTGATTCAAGTTAATGCGACACTCCGTCTCACTAACACTGGCAATTGTAAATTAAAAAAAAACTTCATTACAATTTTCTAACTATTAGAACTTCAGGTGTACAATATTATTTATTACCAGTACACTGTATTTTGCATAATACCTATTTACCTATGTATAAAGTAAGATTTGAGGTTATAGAAAGCTGACGTTAAAAGCATTATCTATATCAACAATACAGAAAACAAATCTTATTATCGTCAGCCATCAATAAATCTTTATTAATTTCAAAACAGACAAACGACCATTTTTTTAATCAATATTTATTAAATATCTAGTATTGCAGAAGACAATTTATTCACGTAGGTTTGTCCTTGATTGACAGACACTTCCCATACTGCAGCAGTTTTTTCTTTTTGACTGACAATAGCCACAATTGTTTTTGCAGTTGTCACTTCGAGTGCATTGAGAGCACGTGTCACCATAGATAAGATATTGTTAGAGTCAGCGTGTTCTTTGTCAGCGTGCCAGGACGCACAGCTTTTTATAGGTATCTTGTTTAAATGATCGCATTCTTCTGAGACAACTTCGTTTAGCATGGCGTAGCGATCAAAATCTCTATCGTATTCCCGCTCGTCGTTGTCAAACTCATGGGCAGTGCCTTGTATATCATCATTATCATTTCTCTGTAAATAAAGCTGCTGAGCCTTGTCGCCTCTATCAGCGAGATTCCTAATCATATCTTTCTTCGGAATTAACTTTGAATTATTGTCTTCACACAGAGTGTCATATAGGATGGTAGACCCCGATAAATCTGGCGTAATAGTACACATATTGAAATCAAGTTATACATACCTATCCTAGTAAGACCTGCATAAAAATGTTGATTCAAATAAATGAAGATGAAACTGTGTATATAATGTTTATTATGCAACTTTACCAAAACTTACCTTATCTTTAGATATTTTATATGATTGATATAAACTACTTTGAAAATGATATAATCAAGAGCCATGAAAATGTCATCATGAATGACTTGGTGCGGTAAATTGGTGTCAGAAAGGACGAAAATGGCGTTGACTTGTTATGATCTGCACACAAGTTTCTCACACTGCCTACATTAACCATCAAAGACCGAGGGCCCAGTGTAACCCAATCTATTAAAAAATTAAAAATCATTGATATCTGACCTCTCCAAGCGCTCTCACAGATGCACTGTCCAGTGACGTGGTGACAGCCGCGAGCGTTGTCAGTGCAGTTGCAGCGATGTAGACAGCCGAGCCCGAAGTACCCGGCCGGGCAGCGCCGGTCGCAGCGCGCGCCCGTGTAGCCCGCCCCGCATACACACTCGCCTACGGATACAATCAATAAATTAATTACATTAACAAAGCGATGTGGATGTAAAATTTTATCAACATAAAAAAACATACTGTACTGTATACATTTTTAATCAACATAGACTAAAATATGCAGCTAATCTCTTAACATACAAAATATATCTGTATAGCAAACTTTGAACAAGACTTGAAGATTACCTACATTAGTATTTTCTATCTATTTTTATGCAGCTTGCTTGCAAAAACTACTAAAATCAATGAATATGTGCATATTTCTTTATACATACCATTAACAGGGTTGCAGGGCGCATCATTCTCACAATTACAAGGTTGGCGACAATTTAAGCCAAACGTTTTCCCGTTACATGGTCGATCACATTTTAGGCCTTCATATCTGTAAAAGAGATACATTTTTATTTACATTTAATTAAATATATTTTCTTATTCAAAATTAACATCGTATTATGAATTGGAATTATATAAAACATTTTATGAATACTCCAATAATATCATTAGTACGTTAGCAATGACAAATCAAAAAGGTATTATTATAGAAAAGTACATTTATATGGTGTGATAATAACCTATTTCATTAAAGGTAAAACATACGCATTATATATTTTTTATTATTGTAAATAATAATAGTATGGCGCAATCCACAGCTCTTTATCACAATAAAGGCACGTGGCGTGACGCAATGTTTATATAAGATTAACTGAATAAAGCAATGGTTAACTGATATCGTATGTTACAATTCAATAATGTAGCTTATCAATTAATTTACATACAATAGTTTAAAAGGATTGTTATTATTATTTAACACGACAATTAATAAAATAAATCACATTCTCGAGATTTATCTTATTTTTACTACTTTCAAGTACATACAACTAAATGGGTACGTAAAATTAATACTTTTAAAGTTGTTACGTGTATTAACATGTAACAACTTTAACAGGCACATTACCACTGCGACTACAGATGCGAGATCCGGCGCATCGGTAATCACTCATGCCGATAATCACAGATTATGAGTCCCTATCGTGACTTGAAATTAGTTGAAGTACCTCAAACATTTAAATGCAGTAAAATATATCTTCTAATCAATTTATTTTCTACTTAGTAATTATTATACAAAATTAATATTTTAATATGTGTAGCTCTGTATAACCTTGCAGGAAACAAAACATAATGTACTCACCCAGGTTTACATTCACAGAGTCCAGTTTCGTGTGAGCAGGTTGCATTGTTGTAACAGTCGCAGGTACGGGAACAGTTGTCTCCGTAGTACGGGTACTGACACAGCTCTTCACATCGCAACCCACGGTACCCGGGAGCGCATAGACATGATCCTACATAGATATAATTAGTTATACAATGTACTGAATAATTCTAGCCTGTATGAATATATATTCTTAAGTAATATTTTTGTCGGTGTCGTTGGTTGATTAAAGAACTAGCTCCTGCCCCAAGATGGATAGCAAACAACAACTCCTGTAATCCAGCAATTTCTGTACCTGGTTTTGGAGTGATACAAAACGTCCTCTCAGTTAAAAACGTAATGGATCCAGTACCCACGACACCGTAGGCTTTTTAAAATAAAATCTAAGTATGTAATATAAATTTCGTGCGACATACTAAAGTAAGGTACAGTGTAGCAGCCCGACAGTCGCCGCGTCGCGGGTCGTGAACTGCTGCTCATGGATATGAGCCTAAAGTATAGTTTGAAACTAGTCGAGTTCCTCGTCAAATAATTACATGATTATGTCGAAAACATAATAATTAAAATCTAAGGTATTACAAACTACAATTTGTGCATATAATTACCGTTGACAGGCGAACACAGTCCACTGTTTTCACATCGACACGTGGACCGGCATCCCTTCCCGTATGTCAGTAGCGGACACTGTCGCTCGCAGGACTCCCCGCCCCACCCCGCCGAGCATTCGCAAGCACCGGTCCAAGGATCACACCTGCGTAAAACATAATATTATATGCTTTGTTTCTTATCTGTTTCACTGCCTCGTTGGCCGAGAGGTCGCAGGTGCAACTGCCGGGTAAGGGGTCTCGGCTTCGATTCCCGGGTCGGGCAAAGTATAACTAGAAATTTAAAAAAATCTCAGAAACAGCACCAAGTCTGGAATTGTGCTCGGTATATGGCAATAGGCTCACACAATTCACAAATAGTGAAAAGTGGGTGTTACAGTGGGCTACCCCTTCGGGAATAAAAAGTATGATGTTATTTTATGTTATTTGTTTCCACAGTTTAAAAGCTTTACAGGAGTTTCCCCATGTGGTCAAAACTATAATAAATTATACTCCTAAACTTTCCTCCGGAAAAACCTGGTAATTTGTCCCGTTTTTGAATGTATCGTATAGAAAGACGCGAAAATGTACTTTTATTTACAATAATATGTAGGTACGTATAGGTCTAATTCTTAGTTTGCAGTTTGCATATTTAACGCATAAGAAGTGACCGAAAGTGCAAGTAAACAATCAACTTTATCTTATTAGTAATAACGGTCAAAAATTTCGCTTCTTTGCCAAAGGAGTCTCCAAAACGATCTTGTCGACTATACTGTCAGTGTCGAGTGGTGACGGATTTACTGTGAAAATCTAATGTATTTGTTATGTATTTTCTAAGATTATTTAGACACCACTGACAAACTGTGAAGGAAAACATGAGAAAACTTGGGTTTATAATTTCTAATTGTAATTTTGAAACCGCGTGGAATATTTACGAAGCTATTATTGCTACCTTTGCAATGTGTATCCTGTGCCTTTAGCCAAACGCCACTTTAGCGCTTGTCTACCGAGAGAGTAGAAAACTAAATGTATGGTGATGACACTGACAATTGTCAAAATTTACGTCATATAATTTCGTTTTCTACTCTACAAGTAGACAAGCCCTAAATGGCATTTGGCTACAGCTGCTGATTATTACCTACAAAACCATAATATACCACTAACAAGACAATCACAAAAAAGTATTTATTTGGTTTTCCCTAATAAGTCGGGAGAGATAAGCTCGGACCGACTTTGTTCTTGGGAGTGTTCGGATGTGCAACAAACAAAAGAGATAAGAAACTACAATAACAACATATTATATCGGTAACCTTAAGATCTTATCAGCAATGTACGTAAAGTCAGAACCTAAATTGAAACATAACTGATAAATTGATAATGCAGATAATCTATCTTTGAAGTTAAACTGATGACTTTTTGACTGTGGGGTTTGACTATACCTATTTGGTGTTCGTGGTTTCTATAGAATGACACTATAATTTACATATCTATACTTATAATAAATCTGTAGAGAGGTAAATTCTGTACATAAAATATATTTAAAAAATAACTATCAAGGGGTGGGTAACTATTAGGGATCGCTACTGATGCCAAAAATGCAATCAGTAAAATTTTTGTCTGTCTGTCTGTATGTTCGTTATGGAAACAAAAACTACTCGATGGATTTTAACGAAATTTGGCACAATTATTCTTTATACTCTTGGGCAGGTTATAGTATACTTTTCATTACGCTACGATCAATAGGAGCAGAACAGTGAAGGGAAATATTGGGAAAACGGGAGAAGTTACTCCATTTTTTAAACTTCCGTCGCGTGTGCAGGCTTATAGGTTAAAGCTGCATAGAAATCATGTATGACGGAAATATTCTCCTTAAAATTATATAAAAAATATTTATTCCTCGACAGCATATGTCTATCTTTTATGGTTAACTCACAATAACACGTGAAACTCCCGATAGCTTAGCAATTCGGTGATTTCTGATTGTATTTGTCTACTCTAACGTTTACAATACTCATTTATAGACTTTAACTGAAAGGCCAATGGTTGAAATTAGCTTCACTCGATATTATAAATGAAAATATGTGAGTTTATGTGTATGTTTGTTACTCAGTCATATTAAAACGACTGAAGGGACCGGAATGAAATTCGGAACAGAGGTAGATTATGGTCTGAAGTAATACATAGGCATTTTACCCCTGGGATCGCGGGCGAAGCTGCTGGCAGAAGCTAGTCATACATAAATCTCAAATAGTCTATAGAAATAAGACTGCCTCGTGAATGAATTAAACGGATTTTTTTTCATATGATGTTTAAATTTTACGGCTTCCAGATTGAGAAACATCTGAAGAAAGAAACTTTGCAGTAAGTACGTTTTTTTTAGTATTCTAATCTTTAGTACCTAGGTACTAAGTAATAAAATAATAACATACATGTCCGTAGTAGCGGGATTGCACTCGCAGTCCCGGTCGCAGTGCGCGCCCCACTTGCTGGCGGGGCAGGCGCGGTCCTGGCAGCGCTCGCCCTTCCAGCCAGGCTTGCACTCACACGACCCGTCCTTCGAAGAACACACGCCACTGTGCTCGCACTGACATTTTCTAGAACAATCCACGCCCCACGTACCCACTGGGCATATCTCCAGACACTGTAATAGACAAAAAATAATATAAATAGACATATAACATCAAAGATCATGCGCTTATTCCATGAGGGGGGAGGGGGGTGCACATAATTAAACTTAACATCTGGTACATAGGACGGACATTACATAGGAGTCAAGGGTAGTTTTGCTATGCACTGAGTATTGTTCCACGCTCCATTTCTGAATATTTTTTTAATATTAGCTTATTAGGTATTGTAAAATCTTAAATACCTCATTATAACCGAGGCTAATCGTACGGGATGTGTTCCAAATCCCTAACAATGTATTAATACTGTAGGTAGCGATAAGTGTGATATCAGTAGTGCCTAGTTACTTCAGTACAATTTGACAGTTGGGTATCATTCAACGTTAGTAGGCATAGAAAAAAATTAACTGCATATAAAATAATGTTATGAACTATGAGGAATTCGAATACTCATATTTAGGTACTTGTAAAAATATACCTTCTCTCCAGTAAAGCCCGCTTCACACTGACAGCGACCAGTGACGTGATGACAACCAGCTCCATTAGCACATTCACATGATATCTCACATTTTGGTCCCCACCTTCCCGACGGACACCTATGAACAAATATAAAAATTACTCCCCATTTCCTTTGTCACTGTATCAGGTGTAAATGGTAAGACAGATTTAGCAATCTTATTTTTGTGTTTTGCACTTGTTGAATAAAAATGGAAAAAGCTGAAGGGGCCAGTAAAACATATAAAAACAAAAACAATTGTTTACAAGAATTATTAACAAGATACATACTTATTTGCACAAACTTCTCCGGTCCACCCAGACGGGCATTCACATGTTGACAGAAAAGTACATTTTCCGTTGTTCTGACAGCGGCATCTCACGGGACACGGTTCATCACTGGGACAGACTTCTTCACATCTGAAAGAACCAACTTCCTTATTATGATGCCAACACAACAGTTATGTACACAATAAAGCCAAATGTTTTCGAACGCGCACGTAATACGGTACTAATTTGTAACGAGACCTATAAACATTGGGATCCAGTTTCATTAAACATTGTGCATAATAGGGCCGGGAATGTTGGTAAAACGCTTCGTAGGAATTCATTATATTGCACGCACAAAATTGCAGAAGATGATTAATGGTTTGTTTGTTTAAATAAAGAATATATTTTTGATATTTAATCCAGATATAAATATTTGTGTAATCAAATCATATTGTTTCCATTCCCAAGACTTATCGCTGGTTATAAGTTAGTACTTTAAATACCCTTCTTAACTCCTTAAACATTCAAATTCCTATACAGATACATGGTAACACTTACAAAGGTCCAGTAAATCCCGGTGGACACCGGCAGGCCCCGGAGGCCGGGTCGCAGGTGCCATTGTTGGTGCAGTGGCACAGCTCGTCGCAGTTGTCGCCGTACGTGGGAGGAGCACACGCCCGTTCACAAGCATCCCCGCGCCAGCCCGCCGTGCAGGCGCACTTACCGGTCAAAGGTTCACACGTACCACCATTCATACAAGTACATTCGTTCTGACAGTTTCGTCCCCATTTTCCATCAGGACATGCTGAAAATGAAAGAACAATGTCAGATTTAAACATTAAATAACAAAGCACAACTATGCCGAGAGCTAATAGAGAATTTAGTCTATTGGGTTTAATTCGACCTAGGGAGGTACTTACTGGCTTAGGTACTCATTTTAATGATAGGTAGATAGTCTATTCACAAAAATTGTACGTATTTGAATAACAATAATATAGCACCATTAACAGTGCCATGTAAACACAAACTAGAATATCAATGCGGGTAGCTCTCCTTTTAAGAACTGAATTAAGTTCCCATTTAATACAGAAGAACATTTTTGGAGTCGATATTATGCAACTATGGATAAAGGTTATGACTTGTGCTTATAATAGGGTTGTTTGTTCAATTAACAATAACACTGCATTATACTTAGAGCTACAATTGGCTTCACTATATTTCGTGGACAATGCAGTATTTACTTTAAAATTACCTACTGGCCTTTTCTTATAATGTTTTGTGAATGATTCACAGTCCTTGGTGTCGCATTGCCGTGAACTATCGATGACGTATCAGTCAACCTTTGTCTTGCTCAATGACAATACACCGTTTTTTTTCTAACAAAACGTAAAACTGAATGTAAATTTCAATATGTACTCTCAACGGTGAAAACCGACGCATTGTTTTTGACACGAACTAAGTATGTAGAGCATATCACCGGTGTTCGCAAATGTTTGCGGAATAAAATAAAATAAAAATATTCTGACTTTCACCAACCAACTAAACGAACCGAGAATTTCATCCACGATATATTTTTATGGGCGTTTCTGATTGATTGCCTTTTAGATTTACACAATTAAAATTTCATTTGTTTCACTCAGGATTGCGACAAGAAAATAAAATGTTACATAAACCTTTGAAACCACTTTAAAGCAGTTATTGAATATCTCACACAAAGAACCTACCAGTACACAATTGTAAAATGATCTTTGAACCCATAACAAACTAGATAGGTAGTATGTATATGTATATAGTATTCCTAATTAAAACTTATAATTCGATAATATTGCCACGGCTGCTGTACATTTGTGCGGACATGGAACAGAAACATCACATTAGCCACATCCTGTTTACGGCGTTATTCATAACTGTGGAGTACGGGGAACTCGCAATTGACAGTTTCTATATAAAATGTATCTTACATATGTCGCAGGCTGGGCCGCCGTAGCCGTGCGCGCAGGCACATGTATTGGGCGCCACACACTTGCCGTGGACACACGACTCCACGCACACTGGCACGCACTGCTCCCCTCGAGCGTCTGGCGCGTACCCCGCACAGCACTCCTCCACTGGCCTATACTTGATCAACGTTTGAGTCTTGAAAACTTCCCTAAACTTAATCTTGTACTTTGAACACTTCGGTGGGACATTGAAGCACCATGTATACTCCTTCACCTGATACGGCTGTTTTTCTGATACTCGTATCGTCGTAGTGTATCTGGAAACAACCAATTATTGTTAATTAAATAAACAACTGGTGTGTACATGTAAAACGCAAGTGTCATGCCGTTAACATAACCAAGTATAGGTACATTGTATAATTAAATGTGCAAATGAAGCTAGATAACTAAGATTGCAGTAATTAAATGATGTATTACACAATTTTTATTATCACACTATATCAATAGATAGATAGTATACCAATTAACAAATGGCACACAAGCACAGAGTGCAGTCTTAAGTTCAGTGTCAGTTGATAATGCATGGGCCGACGGATATCGATAATAGTAACATTGAACTGTTACATTCACAAAGCTACCAAGTAACGGGGCGCGGTGCGGAAAACTCGATAAAGTTAACTGACCCGATGAGTAACGATACTGGTCAGCACCAATCAGCCGCCCCAACATATAAAAGTAAATAATAAACAAGGCCCTCGCACTGGACCAATATTGGGTAACAAAGAACAATGAACGTTAATTCATATTCGCCTTGTGACCGTTCCAAAATATTAAAAAAATAAGAATTACGTGACCGTGACATTTTACTAAACAACCCATACGATAAATGGAAAATTTCAGGAATCACGACTAAGCTTAATTGAGGATTTAGAGGCGACGAAACGTATATTTTCACTTTATTGTGTGGTATTCGCTTTTATTGGGCTGATGATATTAAAGCTGTGGCAGGCAATACATGGGCAAGAGTAGCAAACTATAGAGAGAAATGGCGCCAGTTGGAGGAGGCCTTAGTCAATCAATGACATACAGACAGGATGTCGATGCACATTAACATTTAAAATCGAAAATAATGATGTTAAAGTTTTTTTTTTTGTGAAAATTAGTGGTTTTATTATGTATTATTTATTATATTTACACTTTCATTATTCAAACACTATAATATTGCTTTAATAAAATATGTAACTTAAATATCATCGATAGATTCATACTCTTGTTCAGATTTTTATTAGAGACTAAGGAAATACCAAATATAATGACTACAATTTCTATAATTTGGGGTTTGTCGGGTATGCCCATAATTGCCCAGTGGACAATGGATCTGTTGTTGTTTTACAAAAATTAAGGACTTTGTAAACTAAAATGAGGTCATTTAACTATACTATTCCCAGCCCTATTCCATTTATTGCAGTTTGTCTATCATTAAATATGAAGCAAATAAATGTATATCGATGAATATCGATTATCCAACATAAAATCACTGTATTTTGAGCAAATCAAACCAAAGTACCTATTAAACTTCAGAGCTTTGTTATAAAAGTTACTTGTAGATGAAAACATTAAGGAAAATGAACTGCTTTAATAAATTGCACTTCCAACTATTTAATGACTCATTATTATCTCACTCAATATTTATTTCATTCTTAATACATAAATTATTATTGTGTATAATTTTACCGTAAAATTTAATATTTTATTAATATTAATAAAACCCAGTCTGGATATAGGAGAACTCATTTGATAAACTACTAAATTGAACTCTTTAAAAATATCTCTCTTCTTATCTAATAAAATTTATAAGTAAACGAAAACGAAATCAAACTGTAGATGTAACCATTATCTGAATATTATGAATTATTGAATTACTACATTTTGTTTTCCAATTATTTGTTTGTTGCAAATTAAAAAAATAAATTAAGTTTAACAAACTATTAAAACTAATTGAAAGTTTGGTGCGTTATGAGCCAATTGTACCTACACTACTACTACATAGTAGGTATAACTGGGTTTTTAACACTTAAGGACTCGCTAATGGGTCTAACGGACCCAGTTGTTTAATTTCTTTGTAATAACTTTTAAGATTTGACGTTTGCGATGTTGCCGTTCTTAGTACCTTTCAACAACAGTGTAGCGCGGCAAATGCCGGTCGTATTCTTCAGTTAGCGCGCTGCGTGTGAGTGCTACAGATGTATAAGGTGCGTATGGGTCCTCTGGACCCGGTAGCGACTAAATACGGAAGCGTTCCTTTTTTCATCATAGTATTATTTTTTGTCTTGTTTTTTGTTTATTTCATAGCAAAATGGTTTCCAATAGGCCGTTGAGACTTGACGAAATATAAGACTATTTTAATGAAGCTATTCTTCTATGTAGATACTGGTGAAAAAAAGAAACCGAAAATAATAACCGACTATAATGAAATGTGGAGTCGATATAGTTGGCCGTCGTACCGTTATAGATGATTGGTACGTATTCTATGTCAAGACGAACTCAAAGATCCAGGAAAAATATTTTTCGATTTATTGAATATTGGTGGACTAAACACTTATATTATTCAGAAGGCTAATGTATCTTCAGATAACTTCGCTCTAAGAGATTTCATCAAAACCTTGGAAATTTCTCTGATTCAACCGCACCTTTATGTCAGAATTTCTATCATAAACATTCCACAGCATATCAAAAACCGTATCCGGAATATAATTCGAGAAGTCAACCCAACTGCGGCATCCAACTCATCCTTGCCAATTGCTGGGCGAAAAGTACGTTGCGGTCTTTGTAATTGAAAAAAAAGAAAAACCAAAATTTTTGGTATAAATATTAAAATGCAATATAGCCATTTGTGGAGAATACGTGAAACACGTGTGTTCCCATTGTTTTAGTAAATGAGAAGAAAAAAAGACTGTTGATTTTGAACGATTATTTTATCCCAAAAAAAGCTATTTGATTATGTTGATTTTCAAAGATATTTTTATTGTTTTCTTTTAGTATTGATCTCTTATTGTTAATTGTTCTTGGTAGGTATAACATACTAGTATAAGAAAATATAGAAAGGTATTGATAAAACCACTAATTAGAGAAGTTTTCAGAATTATACTTAATCTTGTCATAAAAACATGCCAAATAACCGTAAATTTTTGTAAAAACTTGTTGATTAAGAAAACGAAATAAATATTACTGTTTGATTCATTATTTTCTTTGTTAATTAACATATTATCCCTAGTAATAAAGTATTTTTCACTTATATTTAGTATTTTTGGAAAAAAAATTGAATATTGTACTGGGTCCAGCGAACCCGGTAGCGAGTATGGGTGTTACAAAATAAGGCGCGAGTCCTTAAGTGTTAAAAAACTGAGTTGCAGCACGGAGTCTGGAATTGTACCCGATATATGGCAATAGGCTCACCCCCTATTACATGGGACTCATAACATAAATAGTGAAAAGTGGGTGTTACTTCTGTGTGCACCTCTGCCTACTCTTTCGGGGATAAAATGTGTGATGTTATGTACCTACATTTTATTCCATCTGTCTATCAAAAAAATCCTTATCTCGAAAACACATCACTCTCTGGCTTTGAACCCAGAAATTGCCTCAAGTGCATGTTTTCATATTATTAAAGATTTTGCTGGAAGTACTTCTTATATGTGTATAAATTCCGACTTAAGGAAGTTTATGAATGTTTTAATATTTGTTTTCGTTTATAAATATCAAATAGCGGTTGGTATTGCGTCACGTAGCCCTTTAGAGAGCTAAAGTATTCAATTAGATCTGTATAGTAACCATAAATATTAATAACTAAATGATAGGTACATATCAAGTATCTAACTGGATTATTTTAGTATCTACGCAATATCTTTTTTTAATCGTCGTCATACCCACATATGTAAGAGCGTACATACGCTTGATAGCACACATTGTATGACGTAATAGTCATATAGTATCTCAAATGTTGAATCATCAGACCTATGGACCACAGAGTATCAACGACCAGAATATTAGCAACACATTATAATTACATTGTTATACATTAGAGCTTTCTTTCGCTCCAATGTATGCTTCGATAGAGTATACTACATAGAACTGTATTTCCTAGAGCCAAAAATGTATTGTTAAGGTACATATCTCAACTTTTTAAATTAAGTGTGCAATAATTATGCGAAAGCAAATAAGTATGTCAGTAAGCCGGTATTAAACTGCTTACGAGGAATTCTGTGAATTCATTGTTATAAGGGCAGTTTGTCTCTTTGATTGGTAGGTAGTCATGAATACGTCTTCGATCGAAGCAACTCGGTGCGAAATAAAGCCGATATTTGGCAATCTTTCAATAGGCTCTGCTTCTTATATTTACATAGAAATACTGGAATTGATCTTCTTCCTCGGTTTGAACATCTAAATCACTCATTTCAAACTATCCAAGGAAGCATGACGCAATGAAGCATTGGATAGTTTGAAATGAGTGATGTATTACAACTAAGTTTAGGAAATACAAATAAAAGGTCTTTGTAACTCTGTGTTTATAAGGAAGTACTGGTTTGTTTACATTGAGAAACAATCGAATAGTTTTTCATATCCTTCACGGGTTCACGGCAAACACACTGCCGTCGAAGGAAGTAAAACCACAAAATCACTTTCTGCTGATTCAGTTTAAAATAGAAATTGCTGAAATTCAACTCTTATTTATCTGTTATCTTATTAGGTAAGTACTACAATTTAATATGTTACGCACAGATTCGCAAAAAATATGGCCTAATAAAATAAAAACTATTAAGGAAAAGTGTTACCGGTATTATCAATATTAGTGATAACAATAATGAGAACAGTTCAATTACCAACATAATCGTTTACATGTACTGAATGAGTTATCACATAATCGTTTATGTAAACGAACGATTATATGATATCATCCAGTGTTGTTCTATCAATTGAATGAAATGTACTCACGATTCTTGTCTGGTGCAGACATTGGGGCCTTCCAGGAGTGCATAAGTAAGGCTCACGAGCGCGAACAACACGCTGAGCACCGACCACATCTCGACTTCGGTTCACGCAATATGACGCCGTATCTCCATAACAAATCTATTGTTTTGCCGTGTTTACGTCACAATAGGCATTCAAATCTGATTCCGTTGCACTTTTTTCTACAACTATTGCAAAATATGGCTGCTGAATTTTACCTGAAAATGAAAAATGTGCATTTAGTGTGTTATGCATATGTATGATTTTTACATGATATCATGTTTCTATATGTGGTAATCTTATAAGGTAAATTCCCGTCTATAAAAAGTAAAAAATTACATGGGTGCGCTGCGGTATGATTTGCGTCTATCAATAATGACAATATCAATTACTACTTTACTTTCTACGTAACTATAAACCGAGTGAGATATCGTCGTAAATGAAATGAAAGCTAAATCACAAATCATCTTATTTATAGTATTATCCAAAATGAAATAAAAGATGTCTGGGGGCCGTCAATGAGCACTGCAGACATCGAGACGGCAATTTGTCAGCTCATCAATATTATATTTCATTCACATGCATTCATGTACGTGTAGTTTGCACGAAGAACTTATAATAAACAAAGAGCAAAACTTATAACATACAAAATAAGAGGTGTTTGTTTAAAAACGTAGCCTTTTCTGCATAAAAATGGTATCTAATTGCCAACATAATCAAACATTTTAACTAATTAGGTACTTAAGCAAATAAAAAGCAGTGTTAACATTTTGTGTCCCATTCATGACGTGCTTTCAAAATATGAATAGTTGAATGTTCATTACAAACCATTATGCTGACATGTATAAAGTTTCAATAATAATACCTTAATGTTATACTGCAACATAAAATAATTATACATAAGGTCAAAACAATGAAAACAGTGATTCACATTATATTATCAAAACTACGTAGGTTTCTGGAACTATGCTTATATTTTATATACTTAACATGCCTATATTAGAACGTATGTTTAGTACATTCCCGTGCCTACAAAGTATGACAAACAAGAAATGCTTTGACTTTGTACCTACTGGATGAAGAGAACCAGTTTAAAAATGGAAGACAGAAGAAGATAAAAGTTGTGTCATTTATACATAGAATCCAGTAAGACTGCATCGCTGCAGCAATTATGAATTTTAAAATACTCGTCTAATTGCGCGGTGCAGTGTTGTAAATGCACTTCTATTTGCTGCAATCGTTCTGAAGCACAACTGCACTTAACTAGTGCTTCAAAATGTTTATCACGTCAGTATTGCATAAAGCGGTTCAAATGCTTGGCCACTTCTTGTATGTGTAATATCTTGCAAAACTAATAAATAGGTTTAGGTATCTGCTAAAACAATCACTATTGACTCGTATTAGACAAGCTAGACAGGTGGGGAATATGGGGAACACTACCGCAACGAACTATTTGCTGATTACCTTAACTCGTCGAGTACCGGTTTTATAGACACAATTAAAGAACAATAGGTCGCGGTCACCGGTGACCGCTTGGTGTTTGACAGTTTAATGATCGTTATAAAATTCAGAACTAAAAGACAGTATCTATGGTATTCCACAGGGAAGTATATTGGGTCCCACTCTGTTTTTAATTAAATGACCTGTGTTGTTTATCATTAGACAAGGGTTTAATTATATCGTGTACAGATAAGAAAGCATTACTATCAAGGACCGAAGTCTACGAGCTAATTCAAAAAGGCTTCAATAATGTTGGGAAGCGGATCCCAACATTATTGAAGCCTTTATATATTAGTTACACTTGTCTGGAAATTTTTATTTCAATACACAATATATGTATTTACTTGTTTGTTTTATTTATTTATTAAATAATTTGCACATGAATACGTCATTTATAAGTGTATTATCATCTCAAGAGGTACCTAACACTGCCGCAGACCGCAATATATTATAGAGCAAGGCGTTGGTTTACTTATTCTATATCTATCTAGTAGCAATAACATAATTTCAACAATTTGTGGTTAAGAAAAGGATAGAAAAGGATATTTTTTAAGAATTCCCCGTTTCGTTACAGTTATAAACTACACAATATAAAGGACTTTTGTTCAATTGAAATGTTTTATCAAACAACGGACCATTTAACACGATAAGCGTTAACTATTAAACAAAATAAATAATTGGTGTTGATTATGAGTGGCAGTAGCGATGTGGATAATCATTATAACCCATAAGTTTACCAAATAGGTCAAACAAGGCATACTGCTTATTTAACAGAAACTCGAGTAACTAGCATTCTATGTGCGTTGCGAATATTGTCAAAACACGAGTCAGCGATGTTGAAGACTAAAACAATTGAGCCCATCATGTCATGAGTTAAACAGGTCACCGCACTAACGTGTGGGCATGGATAAATATACAGGCATGTGGTGCAAGGAGCGAAAGTGGGGCGACATACCGTACTAGTGCGAACCGCGAACGCCTACGTGGCCGCAGACTTGTTCATGATAAATGAAGGAACTAGCCACAATTACATTGACATTCTCGAGTGCTAATATTATATTAATTCACAAATGTTCACTTAATGTTGTTAGAAAATAAGGAAAAGCGCGTGACTTGTACCACAAACAAGAAGCTATTACCCAAGAGATCTGGGTGCGAAGCAGACGCATCCGCATTTCATTCAGGATGTAATGATAACGTATCAAAAATACAAATTACTAATTTGGATAAATTTATTATTAATTAAAACTATATGACCCTCAGCAGCAGCTCGAGTATTTTGCGGGTATATAACAAATAACATAGTTATAAAGATACGATTCAAGCGCGGACGTATGCGGATTAGTGAGGACAACAAGAGATATTTGAAATAAATTAAAATAACTAATAGCTATTAGAGAAATGGCTGTTAGAAGCTTTTACATTGTACTTAGTTCAATTTATTAATTCCATATGTAAATATTAGAACTACGAAAATATACAATAAACACGTTGGGTAGAAATGCCCGCGATTATTTGTTAAATAAGGCTCCCTTCAATGCCCTTCATGATAGACATTAAGTAAGTTAAGTACCTAGGTACTTAGATAATCTTAAATACTATTGTTTGTTGATTAAATTAATTATTAGTATTATTATACATGTGTAAATAAGAAGTAGGTTTGCAAAAGTTCAGTACCAGTACATATTTTGTAACTTGTAGCAATTAAGATAAGTTGCTGGAAGTAGTTATAAACAGTGGGATGAGTCATTTGTGATAAACAAGAGATAAGTTGTGTTATTCACACAAGATAATACAATGAGAAAAAGTTTTAACACTTAAACAAACTGTTCCAGGAACTAAAAACTAAGATATGTTTTAGGCTAAGATTTGCATTACTGAACATTTACATACAGTGAATTTAATACAGATAATAGCTATCTACACTAGAGTATTCCATACACATACTTGAAGATGATTTCAAAGTGATTTAATGGTTATTTCATAATAATGAGGCCACCACCTGATGGTTACAATTTCGATACCAAAAATAAACACAGTTGTAGTAAATATGTTCAGCAGATGTTAATTCTACTAATAATTTTGGATTGCTCATACTTGGGTATGAAAATACTTTAGCACATTCATTTGCTAATGGCATGAGTAAGTAAGCAAAGAAAAGAATACTAATTAGGATGGTATTATTTTTTGTATTAGCTACAGTAGATGATTTCTAAGAAAGAAACAACTCTATCCAATGTGGTTCTTTTAATTATATAAAAAAATAAGATTAATAGTTATTTAATAGTAAAGTAGCATTGCTTCCTAACTTAGAGGGCTTTGCACGAGTTTCTTTTAGGTTTAAAGTAATCCAAATAAGATTGCTTTCAGCACTCACGATTGGTTGGTTCATTTAGCCGGCCAATCAGAGCGCCAAACACTGTTCATTATTTAAAACTGTTACATTTTCAAACTTTGCAATCAATTTGTCTAATAGTATTGCATTTACCTAGATCTAGAATTTTAGATAAATCTTATAAGATTAAAAAATAAGTAAATTAGATATTTATAGAACATTCTATGATTCCAGTTAGCTATATTATTTACTAAAATAATAACAAACATATTGCCTGTACATTGCCTGGAATTTCAAAATACTACAATGTAGCGCTTAATTTTGTGATTATGATTAGGTTTCTGTCTGTCGTACTATGAGATTATATTAGTCTAATTGAAATAAATGATTTGACTTTGAACTGAAGAAGCATTCTTTTACAGAAACGAAATTAGCGATGTTTATTTTCAGGATAACACAACTGATAAACATAACATACTTTTACACCACTAGCTATGAAAAATAATTAAGAATAAATATTAACTTATTCTCATTTGTTGGAATGGGAATAACTAATAAGCACTAATAGGATTTTTTTCCAATTTTGAATATACCTAAAATAATAATATGAATAATGCAATAAGTACTACTTAGTTTAATAGGCTTTTCTAAAACTGCAAGAATTTTTCAAAATCAGAAAGTGGTCAATTTATAAAGAAACCAGGTCATCAATAGTGAAAGCATGCAGAACTAATAAACAAGCATTTGCTGATGTTTGCTAAGTATTTAGTGCTGGCTGTCCTATATAATAACACTAGAGAGAATATATTGTACATACATACATAATTATAAGTATTTATATTTCATAAACTATAATTAAGAAGAAATGTGGACTTCATATTTATAATGGAATTATAGTAATGGAACATTTTCTTACTACTATAATATTTAGTAATTATTATAAAAAGCTTCTATTCCAGGATGACTTGGTCATGACCTACATTCAATCAATCTTAACTATTTAACCCTAATTTGAATATATGGCAATGTGTTTATTGGTGTCAATAAGTGAGAAATTATTGATGAATTCTCTATAAATATATTTATTGTGTAGATATTAATGTGGATCTTACAGTAATAGAATAAAAAGAATAAGTCTAGAGAAGTGAGAATTGTTATTGTTTTGCTTTTATAATAACTGGTATTTTGTTGTTCTTCTCTTATTTTATTTACCTATATCTATCATTGTTTGCTTCCAGAGAACCATACCATTAAAGGGTCTATTATAATAAAAGTTTCTTTTGACAGACACTTATTTATATTTATGTTTGTGAAAGCAAAAAAATCTAACTATAAATTTTTTACTTCAATGTCATGAGAAACCCCATAAAATATGAAAAATCTAAGATTTTATACAAAAAAAAAACTATTCCGTCTTACTTTGAACATAAAACTTTGTCATTGACACAAATTTATTGTGACGCTGAACAGAAAGTTTACTGAATAAACAAAATAAATAGTTAATTGATAAAAGTTACTCACGTAGCACAATAATCGTCGGGAGACTGGTCCAAGTATATGTATGATTCACTGTTTCACAAAAACTATTCACCGTACAGACAGATAGTTCCTCAATGAATTGGCTGTATCATCGCCATAATATCCGTACTGACTACTGACCCTGTTTTGCTGTACAGTCGCCCAGTTTTAGTGCTGAATGACGTCAAAATTATCCCAAACAAGGGTCAATTAATAAAATAAAATTGATTACTTTTACTAACAGTGAGTAAATTGAATTCTTTATGTACGCCTAAATGAGACGAAAATATTGTGTGTATTGTAATTGCCTTGGAATTATTATGACTGACTGCCTGAATGAATAAAATAAACTGATTGACGATGCGATGACGTACGTCTACCACAGAATATAAATATTCCAACCGTGACAGTTCGGCTCAGCTTGCGCTACACTTTGTATTCCATAGACTATACCATAAACTTACAGATTAACACCCTGGTATTTTTGTTTTCATGTCGAACTCGAAAATGTCATACTATGGCCAAGAACCACAGAGCCAGCCGCGAAGGCATTAATGGGTTGTCGAAACCCCGGCCCGAAGAGCAGAAGTAGGAACGGGGTAGTTCAGTAAAAGTCTGACTCTCCCTTTCGCCTTACCTTGGCAGAAGAAGTCTCGTACTATCAATGTTTTTTTATATTTCGTCAACCTTAGGACATCTAAGAATAATTTTCGACATAATGTCATAGAAATTATCAATTTTAATAATGTTAAGTTTATTAATTGTATCAAAACCATAGCTTATCATATCAGTGATCAAAAGTGGTTCGTCGAAATCATGCTATATTTTACGGACTATAGCCTAATGTTGTCATTGTCAATAACATCTGATGGAGCTGTCAAACTCAAACTGTCAATTTCTGTTGAATGTTGAATTGTACGCGTTAATCTTTATGTTTTTGTGATCTTTTTTCGTTCATTGATAACTAAAGGAATCTATTGTTGGAGAACAGTAACATTCTATTTTTTATACGTTTTATCTCAATTATATTTATTTGAAATATTGGCAAACTATGGATTCGTCATCCATCGTCAGTTTTAACAATGATTCTACTTTCCAAACAACATTGAAAGGTGACTGTAACAACATCAGCGTTCATGAGTTAGCTCTACATGCTATGAGAGATCGATGTTTATTATTACAAAGAAGAATTAACGCATTGGAAACTGATAATATGCGATTAAAACTGGATGTCGTAAAAGCGTCAGAGTGCTCAACATACACACCTATGAAAGAAGACGAAAAGCTGGCATTACACCAAAAAATTGCAGAGCTAAACAAACAAAAGTCAAAACTCATGCACCATGTTTTCATGGTTCAATGTGAAAATAAAAATCTGTGGAATAAAATCTCCACATTAAAAGGTCCTGATAAATCTAACAAGCAGCCTTTACTACGTACTAACACATACATTCACAGCACCCCAAAAAATAGTTCACATTATCAAGAAAAGTATTCAGAATCAAGTTTGGAAGAAATATCTTTGAAATTGATAAATAGTTACATTCAAGAGAAGTCACAGTTGGTTGAACAATATGAACAGATGGCCCAGCTGCAGGATATGGATGATGATATCTTGAATGCTGACTCAATTGGCTTTACATACATTGAAGATCCACCTACAGATTCACTTAAAGAAATCCGATGTCAAACAGAAAAATTGCAGACTATGAAGAAGGAGCTTATACAGCAAGAAACTGATTTAAAGTTAATAATATCTAAAGTAGAATCTGTGTTAAGAGGTACTTATAGACTAACTATTATAAGTATTATTATAACTTAAATATTATTGATAAAATACTATTCTGTATAATTTACTTGTATATTTTTGAGCAAAGAATAACTTATAATTCATTTATTCCTTGTTTATATTTACAGATGGGTACAAGTGTCCAACATGTATTGCCAACAATGCCAAAATTACAACATCGGAACATAAAGAGATTGAGACAAGTGACAGTCTCGCTAATTGGGCAACACCAGCAGATTCTAGCACATATAATAACAATTACAGTGAATTAAACACATCTGCTTACAAAAAAAGTATTTTAGAAGAAAGTGACAAAGAGAATGTCGATGAAGCTTGTGATAAAATTTGTCCAATGTGTGGACAGACATTCCAAAAAGAAATAGCTTTTTCAGATTTCCAGTCTCATGTTGAAAATCACTTTTTAGGGGAGGCTGAACCTGACTCTATTACTGATAACTTTGATAATGTTCCAAATTCATTTGATAATATTATTTAATTATTTTATGAATTCTTATTTATTTAGAATTTTGTTTCATGACTGATCTGCATATTTTTGATAGTTGTATGTTTGGATTTTGAATAATTAATCTCAGTACATGTAAATATAGTAGAAACTCAATTATCCAGCCCTCACTTATATGGTTTTGCGATTATACAGACTATATAGACCAATTGTATTAACTCGTCGAGTACCGGTTTTATAGACACAATTAAAGAACAATAGGTCGCGGTCACCGGTGACCGCTTGGTGTTTGACAGTTTAAATGTACAAACTTATTATTTTATTTCATCTTTATTAAAGGCAAATTATCAAATATTTTATGTTTGTACAAACACGACATGATATGTATTTGTTGTATTTATTTAATTCTAACTGTTGCCCGCTACTTCGTCCCCATAGAATATGAATTTTAGGACATAACTTTTTCGTTTCAATTTTCCAAAATAAAAGGAGTAACATATCCTTATTACATCAACTACCTGTCAGCCAGCCAAGGCAGCAAGTACGAACAGATATACAGACAAAAATTGTAAAAAATGATATTTTGGTATGTGTATCAATTATCATAATTATGTATTTATTTATTTATTTATTAACACTTCATGCACAAAGTGTACACAAGGTGGACTTAATGTATATTCGTATACATGTAGTAAAAAGCGGTTATTTTAATATTACAAACAGGGTCTCCAATTATATCTATCTATACAGATATACTACATAGTTCATACTTATCGGTTCAAAACCCAATCTTCATACCTTCGATTATCTGAAAGCCTAACAACAACAATCAATCCTATTAAATAGATACCCAAGCGGTTACCGGTGAGCGCTCTCCACTACCTACATTATAGACCTTATTTCCAATGCTTAGAGACTACTTTTGTATAAACAAATTTAGGGGATGAATTTCAACGGGTTAATCAAGTTTCTATATACATAACTCCACTCCTGTCTGTCGTGGGGACTATGGAACAACAATTGCTACAATTTTTACTCTTCTCTTTCGCTTCTTCATTGAGGTTCTACTGTATATATCTTGTGACTTATTTGATTGCAACATTCCATTAAATAATGTTATGATAATGTCTTTGATATTTTATGATTATTTTGGAAAACATGAATTGCAGACAGTATTAAAGACAACATTTAAAAGATCGAGTTGAGTAAAAGTTCCTCAAGCGTAAACTAATCATAGTTGATTAAAATAAGTAAAACTATTGTGTGTCAGCAAATAGATTTCTGAAGACAGGTTCCATACTTCCTCATAAATGTAAATTGTAAATAGGAAATACCTATTTGGTTTAATTTAATTTCGAATTGTTTTATTGTTTGGAATAAGGGCACAATTATCTTGTATCACTTTAATATAATAAAAAAATGTTTATTGATTTTAAGTTAACCTACTTTAGAATTAAAATTGTACTATGTTGTAGTAAAATGTAAGATATAAATTAGTCTAATTTTAATAGAAGTTATTGAAAATGACATTAATTTTATTTAATATACCTAGCATAGAGGATTTAGATATTATTTTAATTTCGAGCAATTATTTTTAAGAATTAATGGAAAAGAAAATAAACCCCTCTTATTTATGATATCTATTTATTTAATATTTCTATATTACTTAACCAGCACTGACAGTCCACTATTATGCTAAGTCGGTAGGTTTGACATCTGTAGACTTTGATGGTTGTTGTGTAGTCTTTTCAAGGAGGTTTTTGCTGAACCACTGTGGCCTTTCCTTTTTCATTTCAATAATTCTTTTCCCCTTCCAGAATTCCTTGGGCTGGAACAGAAAAACCATAAATGGTATCATTCTTTGTCTCCATCTTTTGTCTGGGCTATCAAAGAGGTAAAAGCATATTGCTTAACCCTGTAATCTAGCATATCAAGGAGAAATATTATGTATAATCATAACTATTTACCTGATCGGGAAGAGTTTCTCCTTTATACAAAACCACAACATCATGTTCAATAGGATTAATACCAAGTTTTTCCTTTATCTGTGCCTGAATTTCCTTGGTTTCTTTCTTTATTTTGGTGTAACAGTTTTCTGTGAAAAGTTACATAAAGTGTAGAAATTTAATAACATAGAAAAGATAGCATTATTTTTGTGAATATTACGAGCAAACTTAAATTCTATAAAATTTAGATTTTGCTCTTTCATTACAACTTTTCTCTTTAAAATGTTTATAGTTAAAATAATCATACCACATAGTCTCCTTTTTTCATGATGATGTCCACAGGTTTGGCAAACTTTGATATCATTTTTTGGTACAAGCATCTTCCATACATATTCAGGTGTACCAAATTTTCTCTTCAGTTTTCTTTCAATAGTCCTCCGGAACTTAGGTACAGCCAATAAGAAACCATCCCCAACGATGTCTTTAATCGAGAACTTTTTAGGAGTAGCTACAGGTTTCCTCTCATGAACATAGGCCAATGCTAACTCTGCAATGTGGAATAGAAGTATTAATTAGTTATTTGTATTCCGCTTTATTAAATAAAATACTATTAGATCATAGTCTGTTAGGTACACATAACAAAGTGTTTAAGGAAATAAAATGTTCCTCACAAATTAATTACCTTTAGGTGGATGATATCCAAACATATGAAACAAGTTCCTTTCCACATTTTTCATTAGTTGTAATACATGAGTAAAACGTGGAATCATACTGGATTCTTGTAAAAGGTAATATATTCAATATTGTATAGTGCGGAATATTACAACAACCCTATCACTTTTCAGGTTAGAAAATAGAATTCTGTATTTCTGTCACTATATTGACAGTTGACATTTTGAAGTTTTGACAACATGACATATCATTCTCAATTTACCATTACATTGGCAACACTACCCATGGCCAATACTTGAAAAATCCAATATTTTATATAAGAGACACGACTTTCCTTTTAATCATCTTTAATTAATTTGAATCTGAAATACATTTTATATACAGCTATTGAATTTTAGTTAAATAATAAATTAAAATATGTTAATTTTATATATGGTAACATTAAAATCATGGCGACTTTGACAATCAGCTGTCTAAAAGTGGGGGGGAAATGGCGAATGCCTGTAAGCTGTGTGTGTTATGCAGTTCATATCCTCAAGCGTTTCGTTGCAGTTGTAGCTATGGCGTGTTTAAGTTCGAGTAGGCTCTGTGCTCGTGTTCAAGATAAGTTATTGTGTCAATTCGGACATAAAGTTCGAAAGCAAACTGTATTTGTGAAACTCAAACCTCCCGGACCATCTCCATTGCGAATATTTGGAAAGACATGTCAGGTCAGATTCATTTTATATTAGTTTTCTTGTATTTAGTGTATTAATTTTACAGGTTTCCCTAAATAATCAGGGCAAATATTTTGTTTTTAAAATCTATTGTGCAATTGTTTTTTGTGTTTATCAATCATAGTCCTCTTTACATAACAGCATGACAGTTTAGATCTAACCTCTCATTGTCAGCTGATCTAGTCAAATATTGTAAAATGATTTTTCTGACTAAATATCCAATAAGAAATTTGAATAAACACATTTTTATAATACTTTATGGTATATGCTAAACTAGGGTCATTCATTGGAAATGTTAAAAGTGAAATCTTCGTGACTCTGTGAGCAGTGGGTCGCTTCGCGCTCGGCACAGGTTTGTTCGGCTTGTCGGATGATTTTCACCGTAAGCAAAGATATTCGCGACTTTTACTTTCATCAAACAAAGCATTGCTCTGTTAGACCACCAATTTAATTTGTTTGCCAGTATTGGTACCACTTGTGTACCTTACCTACATAAACTTTCATTCGGTGCCGCAAGTAATATCCGTAGTTGTATTTACTATACTTATTTATAGTTAGTAAAACCGTGAAGTAGGCTCTTATCAGTCTTTATAAATCCAGTCTAAGTTAAGGCCAACTGACTCCGACCTCATTAGAAATAATAGCTGAGGAACAGGTGGTCGATCTCCTGTTTAAAAAAAATTAAATTCAGACTATCCAAAATTTTGCGGCTTTGTCTATGATTACTAGTTAGAGGTATTACCTACAAGCAGTAATCTCATTCATCTATAAATAAGATATTTTTGATGGAAGTAAATAAAATCGACGTTTCATATAGACCTATTTCAAGGTCTTCACAACACATCAAAACAGTACCTACATGTTAGCAACGCGCGCCGTCGTGCTTTCTCGCGCAGCGTGCGAGCATGCAATGTCCAATCTCGACGACTCGTATAGAACTTTCTAAGCAACAATTATTATTCGCATTAATATTTCATTTACTCCTTCAATTGAATTACTCTACGATTTCTTTATCCATACCATAGCTCTGATGGACTTAGTCGAAAAAAAAAGACATTTTCAAGCTTTGGTTTACCGTACCTGAAATCTTAATTGGAAAAATCATAGTGGTCATTGACGTATGCGTAGTTTTACCTATGACAATCTCTAGACGTATGCACTGCCTCACGGTTAGTGAAAGTTGTGTGACGATTCGTTGAATTTTTAATAGCGCGAAAACTGGGTAAGTAACCTGTCGAAGGAGTGCTATAGCCTTTCTTATTTTTATTCTAGTCCATTTGGCGAGCATTGACCCCGTTTGCTGCGAGACATCATCGCACAACGCTATTTCTTTAATGTTGCGTGTCTCTTAACTTTTCGACTAACATGGGAAAGTAGACGGATATGTTTCTAATGAGGGTTTTCTAGACAGTTTCAATTTGGGGAGATTTAAAACCTACGTTGAAATAGTTTCAAAAAATGTTTTCAACAGCAATGATAGTTTATTAGGTAGATGGATTGGTTGGTCGACTGAATTGTACGTAACCTCCTGCGTAAATGAAGCTCAGTAGAAATGCGGAACACACAACTATTTGTTCAGTCGACATCATTGTATAAGAGTTTGCGGCAATACATACGATGTAGCATATGTTATTTTCGACTTACAACATTTACTTCAATCCTAAATTACGTGATGACAATACAAAAGGGCATAGAAAGCCGAGTGTTATGTTTGCTGCCATCGACTGAATTTTGTAACAGATTACATATTTGCAAATATTTCATAGGAAACACACATCTTGGCCCTTGTCATCTTCCATCATCTCTATTGGCTTCTTGAAACAAATAACTATGTACGTAGTATGGTTTATCGGCTCTTCGTGAATTGGCCACTTAAATCTAGAAGAAAATAAATTTTGTCTGATTTGTTAAATGTCTTATTTTGGATTCACACTTCTTTATTTAAACAGTGATCCGACTATCAACTAGTTACTTACATATCTTTACGGTATACTTAATTTTTTTTGACGGGGAAAATGATCCAATGACTTCTCTCGCCTTGGGTGAGGCGAGAGAGAGAGTGCCAGACTGCTACTGACTAGAATCTGCCCCGTTCTCACTCCTACGAACCGGAAACCTGATAACCCCTGATCGGGCATCAGCACTACTTGGCCCCATCTGTCCCTGTTATTAACTCCCTTTACCAAAAGCCTAAACGCTAGCTGAATCGGACTTAATAAAATGAATTGATATACGAGAAATCATAGATATAAATCATAATGTCAATCCCATACATTAGCTGTTCAACGAGCGTCTGTATTACTTGGCTAGGGAATCTGATCTAGAGTCGTATCGAAACTCATTGCTATATACAAGTAACTAGATAGTTATCTTAATCTTAACTACTACTTATACTACTACTACTAATACTTTGTGTTACAATAATATATATTATAAACACATTTTCTTTTTCGCAATACAGCAACGAATATTTACTGCGGTCTTCTTAAATTTTTAATGCAAGTTGCGCAGTTTTTTTGAAAGACTTTGCAAACGTGGGCTAGTATTGTGACATGCAATGACCACGGCCTTGTGAATATTTTATTTGATTATATTTCTGTAATGATTTAACCCACTAAAGTGAGGGATCTTGGCCTTAATCGAAAAGTGCTAATTAATAAATGTATTATTTAAATGATAATCACGACTCAATATTTCTTTCGGATGCTTGTATCTGAAACTGTCTAACATTTTAACAGTATTTGCAGAAGTGGTCACTGGTGGGTGAACAGATGTCCTTGCAAACGTTGCATGTTTAGGCTGGTACAATTGAGCAATTGCGTTTCGGTCGCCACTTGCAAACAATGAACTCATCAACGATGTCTCTGGAAGTAATTTTAATTGCCGCAGCTAACGCACGTGAAGTTGTTATTTGATAAGAGACTGTTTCGTAGACTACCATTTAGCTTACTTATGTGTTGAGTAAGTATTACATGTAATTAACTTCGGCATCATCTTTCGATCTTAGAGTTCGTTGGTTGCGGTGTTAAAATCTAATATTTGAATTTGAAGCACGTACGTGGCTCAATATACAATAATTCGTGTACGTGAACTAGGCAACTAATCTTTGTAAGTTCTTGTGACTAATAGTAATTCCAGAGCAAGAACTTGCGCACTTGGAAGTGAATCACACTAGTTTATGACAGTTAAAATTCTACAAACAATTTCTTAAAGACTAAATTATTGATGGTGAATATCTATGATGCTATATTCACAAATCGGAATGACACTATATTTGGTAATGGGCTGAAATTTTAGCCAGTGTAAATTGGAAGTACTTTATAATTTATATCCGTGATATTTCCGATGGATCCGTGAAATCGCGAGCCCAATGCCAACCTCTACTTTATTGTAGCGAAGAGGAGAAACTTAATAGTATACAATAACATGGGTTTCGTAAACAGAAATATTGTTATCATATCAATAATTAGGTAACAAATTTCATTCACATAAGAATATCGAGATTACTGTTTATATTAATGTGTAATGAAGGTTTCTCGGTGGACAAAATTTACGAGAAACATGCTTTCAAGGATATTGTACCTTTTATTAAAACCCTTCACAACACGTAAGATTACAAGGTCGGGTTTACCACATTTCAGTTAATGATGCACTTGTACTTAATAATGTAATCAATCAAATAAACGTTAATTTATAGTCCAATAAAGTATTTCTTTTATTGTTTCCTAGAACTTTATACTTTACTTGTACGTAACCAACCTAGTAGACAAAGAATTCTAATATTAATGAATAATTTTTTGCAACAACTCTAGCTTTTTTCACCGCCTTTGCATCGGCTAATAAGCTCTATTCTATAATTTTAAGGCACTGTCACGTAGCAATCGTCGCGTCCTTGTTGTGTACGTTGGCGTTGATTGCAATCTGTAAGCACAGGCAATTACGCCCGAAAGTGTATAATCGTCATATCATGACTACTCTCCGACATTCTTCGGATAAACTCAGGGTTAAAGTGTGTAATGTTAGTGTTGTGTTATAATGCATACTTTGTGTGTTCCGTTCTGTTAGACATGTTCATTCAAAAGAATTAGCTAAAAACCTTTTAATTGCTGTAAAGATTAGTTCACAGTCACAATTTTATTTTATATATGCTAGTTATGAAACTGGAAGCCAAAGAAAAACTAAAGAAACTTCTTGTTGGAAACATCCTGTGAAAGATCTAAGAACGACGGTAATACGGATGTAATAAATAAATTGATTTATAGAATGGAAAACACGAAGATTGCCTACCACTCAAGTGAATTGGAACGGAGCTGAAACTAGTTAAACTTAAATTCTCAAAATTTGTTGTAAAGATATAAAAGTTAAAACCAATAAGCAATAAGCTAAGGTTTATGTCGTACTTGGTATCATTTCGATAAATTAAACATATAAAGTACCTACACACCCATAAATAAATATAAAATTATTCAAACAAGATGCAATGTGATTGCCTGTTGTAACATTAAGATGTGTAGGAAGATCTATTAGTAATTTTACCAAGGGCATATGTTTTTGAGGACATGCCAAAATGTGCCAATGTTTACTAAGCTCGTGTTACACGTTGTTATACTAGCTATCTCTACAAATACTTTCTTAAGGGCCTGTTGCACAATGATTAAGTTGCTGTTAGCTTAATTGACACACATTTCGTATGGAAAATATGTCGAATTATTCGTTAGTTAAGCGAACAAAAACAATTCCTAAGTGTGATGCATACTTGGCACGTGGTTTTGTAAAGCAAGTACCTAGTTCCCGACTATATTTTTGACTAAATTATTTCAAAGCTCTCATTCGAAACATTTTATTAAAATAATTTATCATGATATTTTGTTCAGTATCATATCGTAATCGCTGACATAAACGATACACGTCTTCCAAGATTAAATAAAATTACTTAATTTATTGACCTTTAATTGGTCTTCAGCATTTGAAATCCATAAAAATGAGGATATTTA